AATATCTTGTAACATTAAACATGTTTTAATGTCACATTTGATAACTTTAATGCATCCTTGCTGAAAAGAAATTCTGACTAACCAACACATTTTTGGACGGCAGTGTACATTCAGTAGGTTATTATTTATTGCAATATAAACACTGTCAGAGTGGTCAACAAGGTATCTCTTCCTTTACCAATCGAAGAGGAGCAACTTTTATGTTTACTCTGTGCACTGTCAAGGTCTTCATCATATTTGCATAGGCCAGTAGGGGTGGATATGCAAGCTATGTATAGCTGCATGGGAATGTTACTGTTTTTATTTTGTGTATATTTTTTATGTTTTTGTGATGTCCTTGTGTGTGGTGTATAGTGAAGCCAAAGACAAATTTCCACTTGTGGACAATAAAGGAACTAAACTAAACTAAACTAAACTAAACAGTACCACGCGCTGTTGGCATCGAGCCTGGAGAAATGTACCTACACTTTTGATCGACTTTTCCACATCTTTAAGGTATTATGTGTGTGTGCTTGCGTTTCATGAATATGTGCGCGGAGAGTTTGTGTGTGTGTGTGTGCTCGCGTCTCAGTGCTCGCATGAGTCGCGTCTCATATAAGTATGCGTGCGGAGAGTTTGTGAGTCCACGCGCGCGTCTCATATGACTATGTGCGCGGAGAGTTCTGCGCGTCTCGTGTGTGTAGAGTTTTCGTGTATGTGCATTTCATATGTATTTGTTTGAACACTGACGTTGACGAGTTAACTCCGTAGGTATCGAAATCTGGAACCGAACAACATGTCATTTTTCGATACTCGATAGTATCGAGGCAATTCGATCGATACCTAAAAAGTATCGAACTCGGTACCCAGCCCTATTAGTTTGACAGGTAAAAGAAAAAAAAAGTGTTGTACCGCACTGTACACTGTGGTATGGAATCGGGACTGACAGGGACTTGAACCCCTTTCTCCCACTCCTGTCGCCAGGGATCGGCCAGCTCATAATAATCCTCTGGATTCAGCTGGTAAGAATCATGCAGCTTCATAGCGGTGATCAGGTCTGTCCTGAACACCTTGGAAGAGAGAGAGAGAGAAGAGGGGTTGCATGAAAAGATTTGTGTTTGTGACAGAGCAACAAATATCTATGACATTATCATCTTTATCTGTTAGGGTCGTATTGGGGCAGTAGTCTGAGTGCAAGACAGTCCCACGTACCTCTGAGGGTCTCTTTCCATTCTGTTTCCTGTGCTTGGAGTGCTGAGACCAGGACGTGGAGATACCTGAAAGAAACAGAAAAACATGCTACTCTATGCTCAATAACACTGAGGACATAAATTGTGTAACTGCGAGAGAGACTACTCATGTTATTAGCAGCAATAATGATCATTTTCATTTCAGCAAGTGGCAGTATTAGGGATAAAGGGATTGTGGGGCTATAGCTAAAGGGCTGAATGCTAAAACATCTTTGTTTCTCTTCAATTGTAACATATATCCAAGTGAAATGGCTTCTTAAACGAGAAAAAAAAAGTAGTGCTGGGCTTGATTTTGTCCATCTGCAATTTATTGGAATATAGTCGTTTCCTAATTGCTGCAATCTCATGTGAGTGACAGTTTGCTATTGTCCAGATCTCTTCTCTGGTGCACACGTCATCAGACAAAAGATGTTGTTGAGAGATTAACTTGAAACTTGAGAGGACAAGTGTAGGAAAGATTACAAGGGCACATACATTTTAAAGAAAAATAACGACGAGCGCTGATAAATTATTTATAATAAACACTGCAATATTCTGAAGAAAAAAAAGAAAAGAAAAAAAGTAAACCAAAGCCACCGTGAAGAAAAAAAATGGCAATTTTCAATAGCATCTCAATTTTCATTATTGAGGCGAGGAACGAGGACTGAGGAAGCGCCTAGAGGAGCTTTGAGCGAGGATGCACAGGTGTATCCTATACAGAAGTGTTTCTTAATGAAAAACCTGACACCCGTTTAAATTCTCCTCTCCCTTCACAGCTTTTACAATCATTTTAATTTATGTTTTCCCTTGCAATCTCACATATATCAACAGGGCACAATTAATATTTATTAGCAATTTCTTAAATAACCATAGTTCAAAAACATAAGGGTAGATCCCTTGAGTGCAGCTGATGATGCTTTGAAAAGACACTGAGCGATCAAGAATATTCCAATACACAAATATGATTTCCTTATTTTCTGGACCTTGCATCCTTCCCTCGCATCCTAAGGGGGAAGGGTCTGAGACGCAAGGAAAGGAAATAAGGATGAACAAATAAGAAATGAGAACTAACCTAGGTTTCTCTAGGCAAGTTGGTACTAAAAAATAGTGTCTGTTTACTTACTTCCATTGTCCGAGTCCTCACTGGTGCTTGGGACACGGCTTCGCTTCATCCTCAGCTACCGTGGCCTTCAAGTGATGCAGAAATCTGCAGAGGTTGATCAAACATTAGCAGAACATTCCTGAAAACTGATCCTGCAGAGATCACTGCTGTGTGCTTGTGCTTCCCTCAGCCAGCCACAACTTGACAGAGAGTGACATTTAGAGTTAAATGAGACTTGACTTAAACCTAATTCAAATTAAATGCTGTTAAAATTCTTAATATTTGAATTTATATAATTGCATCTCAGCCTAATATGCAGATTCAACTTATAAGTAATACAGAGTTGTAGCTGACTCCTTCAAAAAGTGTAAACAATGTGGGGCTATACAACCATTGCTGTTTGGTTGAGCATCTTGACATAACAACGTCGGTTCAACCAATACAGTGGGTCTGAGGGCGGGACTATCTGTTGAACCGACCATTGGCAAACGGGGGCGTGTGCATGAAATTTTACACACTTCACCTTAAAGTTTAGGTTATCCTGCTCTGATAAAGATATCAGTTTAAAACAAACTAATTTTTCAAATGTCATATAGAGCAGTCAAATCACATAACTCGAAAAAAAAAACGAATTAAAAAATATATTTTTAAACTATGTTTAGCAAAATAACATTGTCACACTTCTGTACAATGCACATTGCACACATGCCTGGGACGTCATAAGCAATAACAGTAGACTGACGGCCCAGTTTCACTGAGAAATAAAATGAATCCGTGTATTTTTCCATGCACTTTCCAGCTTTAGACACAGACAGAATTTTTAGCCACTTAACACAGTTAAAGCAGAACTACTTTTCATTAAAGAGCATAAAACAACATTAACAAAGGAAATTGTGTTTTTTATTAATATATTCATGGGACTAAGCAAAGCAAACTCATTTATAAAAACATTGAAAATAGTATAGTCTGCCCAACTTGCGTTTATATGAATTTAACCAAAATCATAAGATTAAAAATACTTCCACATCTCACAACTATCAGCTAATTTAAACTGCATGACCAGATGGCAAAAAAATATATAAACCCTTTACAGCAGAACGTCTCACTCCGTATAAACAACAGCAGTTCACGCAGTGCAAACGCTTCATGTGACGCTGCTGACAGACCACGCCTCTTGACGTCACATAGCTGTTCATTTTAATGCCAGTTAGAAATTAAAAACATTATTTATTTTAATAATAGTAATTAAAAATATATATAACAGTAATTTTAGTGTTTAATACACAACCTATGCTCCACGTTGGTATATTTAAACATCAACCTATAGTATCAACAACAAACAAATATGTCGCTACATTCGTTCGATCAGAAAACTAAGTTATATTGCACAAATACATACATTTGGCAGATTTAACTTTTAACGCAAATCCTAAAGAAAAGTTGAATATTTTCTACCGTTATTTTCCCAACATCACGGCAGAGATGAAATCGGACCAACCCAGACCGTTGCATGCGGAAAAATATCAAACATCCCTCTGAAACCTAATCACAATTCATTTATAAACTAAAATGGCAAGACATCGACATGCGTTTGGTATCATTTGCTGGTTCAATACCAAAACTTTTAGGCTAAATAACATAAGCCGCAGTCAGGCCAGGACGCGCGCGCCTAACTTACGATTACGATATGACGCTTGGACACACATACACATACACGCACACATGCGCGCGCACGGCCAGCAGCTATACGATTCAAAGTAACTACCAAATATCAAAGCAAACCGCACCATTAACTTATAGGAATTAATAAGGAGGCCAAATGTATGTAAACATTCATTTAGGGAATCGTCTGCTGCATCTCAACTTAATCTTTTGGCGCCATTTTAATGGCGTGCTACATTTGCACCGGACCATCTGCATGAAGAGCTCGCGGAAATTATGGAAAACATTTGCACGTCCCTGCCTGTAAAATATATACTACATTACAGCAAATATTTTTAATGTACCTACAAAAAAGGTCTTCTTGTTCCTGCGGTGGCGTTTCTATATGGCGCTTGCTCAGAGTTTGAGTAGTCGCCTCTCCTCCACCCCACATACACAAACACATGCAGGTTACGTATGCGCGCCTCTACTGCTGTTTTCCTCATGCACCCGCAGGGGGAGCTGGTGCGCGCGCGCGCACACACACAAGATTATTATCATGACTTCCATTTCAGCTGTTTCATAATAACCAAATCTGGTTTGTTTGGAATTTGATTATTATTTATAATTTGATTATTATTAATCCATAGGAAGCCTGTGTAAATAAATAAAGATTTAATATTATGTTATACAAATATTACATTTTATACTACCAATCAAAAGTTGGTTTAATAATGTAATACATTTTAATTATCAATCAAATCTAATTAATCACACATACAAAAGTATGAATGCATTGGGGTTTACTTAGGTAAGATGCGTCATGAATATCTTAGGCATGGAAAAGGTACAAAATAAAAAAAACTGGAAATCACACAGGATCACTTCACAACAAAAAGCTTTTTTCATCAATTTCCTTTATTAGATTTTAGATCCTGTTGAAGGATAGATAAATGAATTGTGTTAGGAATACCTGACACAAAACCCATCATATTGATTAAATGGAGTGAGGCCAGGAATAAAAATCAACTAATGCTATTTTTTATGGATTTCTTTTGGTTGTGTGTACATTTTTAGAATGTTTTTTATTGCGTTAGTGCAACAAATAACCACTAGGGGGTCACACTTAACCATGTGTCAAGATGGCAGTGCATGGATACACTAGACAGGATGGAGGGAGGAGCTTATTTTTGACACATCAGTGGCCAATCGAAAACAGCTCCTCATCCCACCCCTCTCAAACCACTTCTGTAGGCCTCAGGAGAAAGGTTCACAAATAGCTAAATCAAATCACTACTAAAACAGTCTTTTGGAGGAAATGTAAGGATCAGGAGTGGGCTAACTGTGTTAGAGAAAGTACTGCTTTATAACTAGTCAGGAGAGACCCAAAACGAGGCCAAGGTGGAACAACAGACGTCTGACTGACATGTGCATGCATGAACATGATTTCTGATGGGTCTGATCACAACAGGTCTGCAGATGAGGCAGAAGGGGTCCTGATTACGGACTCCGCTTTGGTGCATGTTCATTTGAGAGCCAGAATAGCATCGTAGGATTTTCCAGTGCGACAGACCTGCACGTCCCTGAATCCTGCATCAGTGAGCAGACGTGTATAATGAGAGGGTGGATGCTCCTTCCCTTCTGTCTGAACCAGCATGTTCAGAGAAAACATCTGAACTGTGGTTGGACCCCGGCGGTTCTCAAACAACAGTGCCTCTACGATCAGAACGCCTCCACCTAGATAAAAATGTAGGTCAGATGCTTTGAAATGTATCATTTTAGGGCCACTAATTATCGACCAATTAATGACATGTTTTCTCACCTGGATGACATGCTGCATGAATCTTCCTCAGTAGTTTGAGATTTTTTTCCTCTTTCCAGTCATGAATGATTCGGGCCAGAATGTACAAATCTGCAGGAGGGATTTCTCCTTCAAAAAAGTCCCCTACAAGCACACAGAAACAAATACCGGTACCTAGGTTTTTCATAGATTAGAAATGCCATACTAGAGTTATAATACTTTCACATTTTTATAATATTGTCATTAGTTTAGTTTTCACATCATCATGCACATCATTGCTAGTTTTACACGGCCATTTAAACGTTTGTGGTCAGTTTGATTTTTAATGTTTTTTAAAAGTCTCTTATGCTCATCAAGGCTGAATTTATTTGATCAAAAATACAGTAAAACTGTAATAATGTGAAATATTATTGTAATTTAAAATAATTGGTTTAAAATACATTTTAAAATGTAATTTATTCTTGTGATGGCAAAGCTGAATTTTCATCTTCAATGTCACATGATCCTTCAAAATCCAATGTGGATTAGGCCGATAAAAAAAACATTTCTTATTATGTTGAAACAGTTGTGCTGCATAATAATATCTGTGGAAAATGTGATACATTTTCTTCAGGGTTATTTAATGAATAGAAAGTTAAATAAAATCTTTTATAATTATGTAAAGTCTTTACTGTCACTTTTAATCAATTTAATGCATCCTTGCTAAATATAATTATTAATTTTTTACTGATCCCAAAAATATGAATGAATGTAGTGTAGAGTTTTGTAGTTTCAGTTGACTTAGTTTTCTCAGTTAATGTGATAATAACTGGTATCATTTAAAAATGCCTACATTTATCAGCACAGTGTTACTGCTATCAAGTGGCATTTTCATATTTAATTCAGACATTTTTATAATACACTGTATTTAAAACTAAAACACAATCATTTGAGACCATTTTTGTTTGAGTTAGTTTTGGAGTCATGCAAATTAGTTTCAGTTTTTCCCCGATTATTTTATTTTCAGTTTAGCTAAGATTATTTTTTATATATTTCAATTTTCATTGACTATAATAACACTACAAACTTTAAAAAGGTCCTGTTGTCAGGACAGCTACTAGACTGCTTGTTTTGTTTTTTGTTTTTTACAAGGTTGGCAACCATTACCAATGTTACAATGCATCGTTACACACCCTCTTGAAAACCGATGGTGTCATCTTGCTGAGCAAAATGCTGCTGAGCAGTCTGAACCACAGCTGGGAGATCCAGAACCGTGACAGTGGAGGAAGGATACTCTTTCGCCAGCTCCCGCGCTAATCCACCAGAGCAGCCTGCAAAGCATCTCAAAAAATAACAACTTGTAATGCTACTGCCTCTTGCATATTTGATAAAAACTGCAATTATGAGCGGTCTCATTTTGGCTTAAATCATTCTCATAGGGAAAGAGCTACGTAAAACTACATTCACACTCACCTCCCAGATCTATCACGGACTTGAATCTAGATAGATCGAATGCTGTCACTATGTCATGGCCGTCAATGACCCACGTAGAGTTCATCAGTCCCATGAACTTCAGCATCTCCTCTTCTGACCTGAAACAAAACAGCACACACCGGTGTCAACAGATGGATCTTTTCCAGATGGATTCACATGAAAAGTAGGACAAACCAACCTTAAAATTGACACTTATACCATCTGTTAGAGAACATGTGCACTGACTTCCAACAGATGCACAATCATAAAAAAGATTATGCATTAAATCCAATTATAGGTCAAATTAATGAAAAGCAAAAATAACAAAAATGTGCGTAACACTTTACAATAAGGTCTCATTTGTCAACAATAGAGCTGCAGAGCCGAAGCACAAACAAAACACGTTCTTCCGCAAAATACATGCGGTTTTGTTTTTTAACCGCTGGTGTAATTTTAATCAAAATATTTATTAGTAAATGGTGAAATTAACTTGAACTATCAATGAACAACAATTCTACAGCATTTATTAAGCTTAGTTAATGTTAACTAATGTAGTTAACTATTGTTAATAAACTGATCCTTATTGTAAAGTGTTGCCAATGTATCAGTTATTGAATTTATATCTCCATACACAGTTCCATGCACCCAAACTAATAGACTGTGAGATGCCTTCATGCACACTCACAGCATCACACAAACCCGAACGATTACAAAACACGCAGTTCATAAAATAACACAAGTCATTCTTTCACAATCACATACACACTATAGCACACACCACCCCTCCAGATGTGGGAACAGCCTTTCATAAAGCCTCAAAATGTAATGGGTTTAAAGTCCATGACCTAGAATTACACAGCACCAGCGGCTAATCGCTTAAGACTGCCTCAGTGCAGTCAAAGAAATGACTTTTAATCTAGTGACGTCTAAGGACAAAAAAAACACCCCCCCCCCCCCCCCCCCCCCATATGGTAGCAGCTGCTAATATTAGATTTTTTTTTTTTTTACAAATTCACACAAACCTGTATATGGCAGAGAAGATCTCTTCAGACGGGAGGCCAAAGGTTTTCTCATTCTGGTTCTTTCCATCCCTGAGAGGTTTTCAGATATTCAGATTATTCAACTGTTGTTTTAGAAATGCAGATGACTTCCAAATAACTGTTTAGTTTTAAGAAGGCATGCTTTTCTTTTTCATTGATCACAAATCCTGATGTGTCCAAATTTATCATGAAAGAAGGATTTTAAAGTGGCCTGGGAACAAGTGTTTTTCAAAACAGTAATGGGTGATGAAAACGCAGATGCCTACCTAACAGCATCTACCAGATTGTTCCAGAGTGGGTAGATGGTCTGAGAGTAATAAATAATCAAATCATGTAGAGATTTGGGGCTGGTCTTGGCCAGGTATAGATTAGCAACATCTGTACTGCTGTAATGAGCTATAAGAGAAGACAAGAGTAAAGGTTAAGAGACTGGGCAAATAATAAACTAGACACAACGGATGGATGATTTTATGAACAAACGAATCCTGTTCTGACATTCATCGCCTTTACATTATAGAGGAATCAGGTTATTTCCAGCTACTTGTGGAGGAATATAAGATACTTCAGCAGCTCACCTGTTCCGTGTACCACTTCCACATCCACAATCTCAATGGCGACCAGCACATCCAGTAACCGCTCTATACCATCTTCACTGGTGCCAAGCTTCTGTGCCACTTCAGCTGCATTTAGGGGCTTTTGGGACTGAAGGAGAAGGTCGAACAACCCTAACTCACAAGCTGAGAATATCGCCTGGAGGAGAATGATTAAATAAAAAAGTGTTTGCCATGTCTTTAAAAAGATATAGGAAACACAAGCATACATGCAAAATGCATTTTAACCATAGACAGTAAAAGAACACACACACACATACTCAAAAACAAGCCAATATTTTGATTATTGATTTACTATGAAGGAATATGGCTTTTGCAATGTGATTTTTGGGATTAAATTTACACTAATATTGTGAAATATTATTACTATTTAAAATGACTTATTGACTTATGATTTATATTTTTTATATAATGTTAAATGTAATCTATATCTGTGATGGCAAAGCTGAATTTTCAGCACCCATTACAGAAATCAATGTAATATTCTGATTAAGAAACATGCTTATAATTATCAATTTTGACAATAGTAGTACTGCTTATTAATTCTGTGCAAGTCGTGATACATTTTCTTCCAGGATCCGTTGATGAATAGAATTTTTTTTTGGACTAAATCTACATACCCAAAGTTAAGGGTAGTATAAATATTATCAGCCCATGAACATCAGATTTTAGGTTCAAATCTACAAATGTGTATATGTCACATCATGGGTCTGAAAATGAAGGACGACGAAGAAGTATCAAAATAATAGTTTAGTATAGCCAACACAAACAACAGCAGAAGACGAACTGATGGAACTGAAGAGCTTAAATACACAAGATAATGAACCAAATACAATCTTTAAAGGTTCTTTACACGTAGTAACAGTTCTATTTAGTACCGTATCGTCCTGAAGAACCCTTTATATGCTGAAATGGTTCTTTTTGTTAGAGTTTAGGGTTCTTTATTCACGCTTTTTTTGTTTTTCAAATCTATAACTGTCAAAGCCTTCTCATTACTGATTTTCTGGAGCTCAGCTATACAACTAGTTACTACACAGACTGTCAACATACTCTCAACAGGTAAATTCTTTCTTTCTTAAAATGTCTATCAATTATAACTTTAAAAATTGTAACAATCATTTCCTAACTATCATGTCTTTTTCTCTTTTTAGTATAACAGAACATGTAAGTGTGAGCAGCTCTGTTCACACGCATCTTCTCTTCTCCTCAAATTAAGTTACAGAAATATGGAAGATATGATCCATATTGTTTGATTTTTTAAATTATGACTTTATGCCTAAACATACCCAGTCACAAAAAAACATTAAAACTATACCATGTCTTTATATTACTTTTTCCTTTTAAGATGCCAAAGGCCTCATACTGTCCATTTCTTTAAATAATTTTGGCCTTCATTAACAAAATTGTTTTTACATAATCAAATGGAAGAGACACATAACTCTAAACTCAATTGTGTATTTCAGATGCCGTCACGTATCAAAACCTCATCATCTGCAGAGAGAAACTGCCACTCAGAATACACACATAATGAAGGATGTAAAGACATCATAAGAGGATTGTGAAGATATTTCACTGGAACTTGGTCTTCATTACTTCTATATTGTGTTCAATGCCAATTGTTATTTAATAATGTATTCAGCTAACCTCTGTTGTAAGAGCACTGTCATTTTTGCTACAATCTGCCATGTCAATAAAAAATAAAAGTACCTAATTAACAACATGCTCTTTTTTTTTTAAAATGTAAAACCCAAATAGAGGCAACAAGATATAAGACCAGGCAGATAAAGGGCTAAAAAAAAACAATATTAATACATAATTTATAAAAAATAATAGTAAAATTAATAATATGAAGATACTAATATAAATGAAAATAAAATATCATTGAAAAGGTTATTTATAACACCATTAAGGTCCTATATAGCACTTTTAAAGCATGGTTATTTATGGAACCTTATAAAAAGGGTTCTATTTAGCATCAAAAAACAAGCCGAAGAACCCTAATTTGGAACTGTTTAGAACCATTTTTCTTAGATAAAGGCAGGCGAAGCAGGAACTAAACAATGAAAATGAAACAAAAACTGAGCATAAATGTTACAATATTAGGGAAAGTATATATTTTAGGTAATACGGCTGGTTACAATTTCTTATAGGTTATTCTCTATTTTGAATCACAATAATCACTTTTTGCCTCTGGTTCATTGTACAAGTCTTTGCAAAACTCTACATAATAATTGTAAAGTAAATAACAACTCTCCATCTTAAGCATCAAGCTTTCTAGGATTTAACAATCTTACAGAATCTCATGGTATACCAAAGGCTTGAGTCATCTCGGGGTTCCACTCAGTGGCTTTTAAAAAGTCATAGGCCGGTCCTGCTGGAGGCGAAATAAGCCCTGATGGCCACAGTGGAAAATGAGACATGACAGGGGACTGCTACAAATAATAGATGCTCTCACATTAAACATTTACTCATAATCCAACAATAAATGCCACGTGTGGTAAACACATTATTAAAGTGGTCTGCTAATGATGTTTGAGGTGATTCCTGTACCTGCAGAAAGGAGCACAGAAGCACTCATAAAAAAAAGTGTATTAGGGAGATACAGCATGAATCACAGACCTTTGAGATCCGGAATCCATTCAAATATTCCAAGAGTTTGAAAGGGTAGTCCAGTTCACTCTGGGATAAATGCTCAGCCATGATGAGAAATGTCCCTCCTGCAAAAAGTGAAACACCATCATCAGCATCACAATCATGAACAGGCTCCAACTTACAATGCAACTCAACTGTCAGATCCTCACAATTCTTGACAAGTGAATGTGAAATATTTATTTAGTCAGTAGAAGTTATTTTTGGAGGATACATTCCTGATTTAACACTTTAACCACATACCCTGTGCATTACCTTTTCACAGAAAATACAGAAAACTAAAATATGATGACATCATGTACCAATCTTGCAGGCCCATAATTTCTTTAGTTTGTATTGGATGATGTACATCATCTTATTGACATATACATGCTATACAACTTATTTTCTGTACTCCATTCTTTGTAAAAAGTCTTTTAATGCTTTAAATTAAAACAAAATATGCACTGAGAAGACACAAAAGCAGAAAGCATCATTGGCTACATGTCTATAACAAAGGCTGTTTTCAAACGGTCCATGGAAAAGTTTAGAATGTGTAAAAAAAAATAAAAAATGGAAAAAAAAGGTAGATTAAAATAAATAGGCCAATTTATTAAAATAAAAATCTACATTTGATTTAAATAAATAAAAAACATCTACCAGTACAGTACAGTGAGTAGGAAAACATGTAATAATGTAACAATAGAAATTAAACATTTTCATATTTATTTACACATTTAAAATGTTGATTTTTTTCCCCCACAGTGTAAATTGTGACTCTTTATATATGAAAATGTATTAGATTGGTCCGTGGCATATCTAAAAAAAATATTTATCAGTCTAGAGTAGACTAACTCACGCAAAATGTATTAAACATTTCCGTCTGTATGCATTTTCCTCTCAAATGAGATTTGAGAACACATTTTCATACACAGCCGATGAAACAATGTATTGTGTAACCACAAAATCATCATGCGAGCTCCCCACGAGGGCATGTACGTGATACACTGACCAGTTGTGCGAGAATAATACAGTCGATAGTATATATTGTGTATAAAGATGCAATATGTCGATATATGCAGAGTTTAAGACCATATCATCACTTGACGCTTAAGCAGTGTTTACAGTTCAAGAAAACGAGACTTACCAAACAAAAGACAGCCGGTTTGATGTTGTTCTGTTGTAAATAATTCTAATGCAAATTTGACTCTTTGACAGTCATCCCGTGAAAAAGAAAGTACCGTTCGAGAAATGAAATACGCAAGAATCGCACTACTTTACACTATTCTGCTCTGCTGACGTCCGATTTGTTAACCAAGCGTTCATTTGAGTCGGATCCTTTCAGTGAATCTGTTGAGCCAGTTCATAAAACCGGAGTTTGATCAATTCATTCACGAACTGGACTGAATTAAGTCCGAGCGGCTTCTACCGACTCATTAAACTGAGAACCATAATAAACAATCTTGCCACTTATCGTTTTACTGTAACGTTTAGGGGATTTAACACGCCAATCACGGAGGACGTCATAAGTAACGCAAAAGAATCGCTAAAATTCTGAACCGGTTCGAAAGAACTGTTGAAAACACCCGAAACCAGTATGGTTTTAGTGACACCTGGCGGTTAATATCCCACAATTTCAATTACTATGCTGTTAGTGTTTTGTCATTTTTGTTTAATGAAAATAATATCCCCCAAGGAAGTGGAATTATTTATGGTGGGAAAACACCACGTCTAACATCAACAGGTATTCCTGTTCATTTTCTTGCCAGTGTTAAAATCAAGCTATCAAAAGTCTTAGCTTGACGACTGCAAGGTATAGTTTGCCTTTTAATAAAAATAATGACAACACACAAACTCATTTAAGAAACAGAGTTCGAAAAGTTTTTTCAGAAAAGGATTGAGCATCATTTAATTAAGTACACTGGGCTTAATTAGAGGCCCAAACTGTCCTGTGAAATAAGCTTGCAGTTTAGACATTGTAATTTAGTTTTGTTGCATCTCTAATTGTGTAAATGGGGTGTGAGATCCACAGTACTGAAGTCTCTGTGTTGTTCAGTTCTAACAAGATTGTGACATTTCACACTGCTGTTTGAAAATATATCAAAATCTGCAAGTAACAAGAAAATAAAATTATTTTCTAGACAAACTACTTCTATGATTGCTACACTTTTGCATATGCAATATCAAAAATTATAACTGGAGCCTAACATACCTCAACCAACCACACATTTCATCCCTTTCGCTTCATATTTATGCAAGCAAAATGCCTTACTATGGAAATGCAAAATCTTCAAACTGGTTCACACTCCCAAAAAAATATAACGGTGGCACGACATTTGATCCATTAAGGCACATTTAGTAAACCAATAAACCTACTGGTTTCTTAACATTTGACTTTAACATGTTAGTATTTGCTGCCATTTGTATAGCTCCGCAATTTGAAATATTGCTCTTTGTGAGAGACAAATCGATTTTTTGCACTCAAGACCAACATATCAAAGGGGCAGATAACAGTAATATAACAGTAGAGGATAACAGTAGTTATTAACCAAATGTATTTATTTCTGCAACAACATGTTCTTGTCCTCCCCATGAGCACGCACACGCACACACACACACACACCCTTGCAAACTCCATTTAAATACATGACGTGAGAGCCAGCATTACCTCACTGTTTGCTGCACATGCTTTAATAAAATGATACACATATTTACATAATCCACAATTTTTGAATTTCGCCTCATCACCTCCCCAGCAAAGACAAAACATTCTTCCAAACTCGTAGTTCCCCTCTCCAGAAGAAAAACAAAATATAACACTTGAGGGTGGATTTGAAAATTACCCACAATTAAAAATAAATTCAGCAGAGAAAAAAAAAAAAAAAGAGGGGAAAAAGAGATGGAAACCGAGAAAGAGCAATGGATCTTTTGGCCAGTACAACACAGCAGTGCGTGGAGTTTAATAACAGCGCAGATATGGCAGTAACACTGAAATAGCTCATAAAGTCTATGTACAAAGTCACGATAACGGCGGTTGAGCCTCCCGTGTCTGATTCGCTCACAGACGTGAGCACGCCTCGTCGTACAAACTGAGGAGATGGAGGGGAAAGATGCCTTGGCTTCTGAACACCCCCCTAAAAGCAGATAATGTGGAAAGGGCAGAGCAGAACATGTTTTATCTTTGCGGTTTCTCCCTCTGGTACCTGTATCTTTCTACATCTCTTGACTATTCTGTAGTAGAATTAAACGGAAATAAGGCACAATAACTACGCTGACTGTTTCATTAAGGGGAGAGTTCTGTTGACCGATGAGCAGACGAGCTGATCCAATTGAACTACCCTACTGATCTTCCCTTTTCATCCCAACCAGCCGTTCAGATTTATACAATTCAAATAAAACAAGTTTTATGGCAAGAATGCTAACGATACCCAACCCCCCACAAACATTTCCCATCCCTCATGTTTTACAATCACATTGTGACAAGAATTGCTACACACTAGTGGTGCACACAATACAAACATTGCTGAGCACCCGCCCACCCAACCATTGGATTGATTGGCTGATGGCAGACAATCTGGCTTTTGGATTGGTTACTATTTCCATTCGACATTTACTTTGATTTAAAATGACAACGTTTTCACAGTCTGCGAATAAGCATGAGATTTAAATGCTCCAAAAGTGTTTGTGACGCGTGTTGTGGTACAATAATTACACGCACAACAACAACAAAAATACTTAAATGGAAACAAAAATAATTAAAAGCGACCTCAGTTGTGGTTTTTAACCTGTTGTGCACTGAACTCCAGGCATCTGCCCCGCTCTATGTACGTGACTTTTGAGGTCATGAATGGTGAAGTCCCCAAAGAAAATTAAGTGAATAAAAATGTATGCGTTTTCTCCTTCCTTCTCTTCACATTGTCAGTCCAAACCTGAACACGCCAATGTGCAGGATGCTATTAAAGCCTCAGGCCGTTTCACTCTCCATTGGACTGTAGGGTAGATGGAGGGTTCGACTGATGATTTAGGGTGTAGAACTGGTGATTTATGGTATAAAGTAGTGTTTGGTGGTATTTATGCTATAAATTGAGAGTTTAGGTGTGACCGGAAGACGGAGGGGGAAGGACAAAGGAGCTGGATTAAGGAGAAGTATCAAGAGCAGACAAGAAGAGTACAGGAAACTCTGACAGGCTATTGGTCTGTTTTGGTAAAAGAACAGTCAGAACAGCAGGGGCTTTTAGACCGACGCGTTTATCTCAGCTGTGATGGAGCAGTAGTGGGGACACTGTACGATTGAGGTAAAGGGCAGATTCTGAGGGGTTTTTCTTGCTGGGGTTTAACCATTCTGGATTGTGGCCTTCTCAGTCCTGGGCTTCAGCTGCTGTAATGATTCAGCAGATCATTCGTGTTTTTGATGATCCTTCATGTCCTCCTCATCTGTGTACTCAGATGGTTCGTCTCCCGGCTTCAACAAACGCCCAACGTAGTCATATTTCTCTGAGAGAGACAGAGGGAAGGGAGAGAGAGAATGAGAAGAACAATAATTAATGATGCTATTTTTAATGTAAGATGGCATTTAATTCTTGCTCATGCAATGTGCATATTTAATCTTGTGCACACATTTTATCACATTTGGAAGGACCTGTTAGCCCCATCCATAGTGTTATTATTAACAAACCAAAACTGAGATTATACACAATGAGGGCTTTTAACCATGAATTCATCTCTGGTATCAACAAGGCAAACAAGCAGTGTGAAAAAGTTGTGTGCTTTATCATCGGAGTACCTTATTTGTCAAACAGCATTAATCTGTCATATTACAGCCCTGATTTCCCCCACAGGCAGTGACAGGAGAGTTGAGCAGCTTATCACACACTCCCTCATCCCATATAGCGACACAAACAGATATGAGACTCTGCTACACCGAATCAATCTAGCTCAGTTGAGTGTAAACCTGGGCTGGCTGGGCATTGACACAAATTTCCCAATTCAATTCGATTTCAATTCACAAGCTTGTGATTTGTTTCGCTCGCATGATTAAAATGTAATCATCTTCCTTTTTCACTTCTAATCCCTATTACCAGTGTTTACTGGAATGTTTCTAAAGCAGGTAAATAATATATTTATTGTCTGTCAAAATGACAGAAATCACCTTTAAATTTTATCACTCAATGTTCCAGTAAATTATAATTTAAGGCAATGCATGTAATATAATACAGACATATTACTACATTGATCATTTACATGTCCGCAAAAAATTGCTGAGGAAAGAATCGGTCTTTTGCCGTTATTCATGGTCTGTTGTAGTAATTTTCTTCTTATTATAATGCTTATTATTGGATACATATAGACGGCGAAAAATATGTGGTTCTATAAACATGATTATACTATTGATTTTGACACTGAAGAGTGTGACCGAAAGGATGCTTCCTTGTGGGACCCCTAGTTCTTGTATGGGTGTATGTAGGGTGCGATTTGCCAGGGGGATGCGTGGGATTTCCCCCTTTCTGGTCAATGTATCCCTGCCTCTGCTTAATTATTTTTATCCCCCCCCTCAAAGTGATCAGTGCTACTACACTAGTGGCGAGACAGATCACAAAACTTATCACGGATCCATGGTTTAATTAAAGTCAATTTTACTTTAAAATGCGCTACTTTGGCCAGCTCTGATATAGCTGCCGCAGCCTCTCTGTAATCACCATTCAACTCAATGTCCCGTCCATGGCGCTATCTGATTGGTTACACCTCACGAGTAATAGCCCATCAACACTTGCGAGACGGTTGCAGGTCCGCTGGGCAGTGGAGCTGTGTGTCGAAAGGAAGGCAGCATATTCTGAATAAACATCACAATGTGATTATTATATCTATTTCTATGATGACAAGCAGAGTTAGTGTCCCAGTCACACCACTGAGAATGGCCGAAGTTACACATACGGTGTTTCACTCAATTGAGGCTGAAGCGAAGGTTTTTTGATTACTCACTCTTGAGCGTCTGGCGCAAGTGATTTCAATGTTAAGTCAATGTAAAGACGCATTTACGCGCGTCTAGAGGTCCTGCGGCGCGAATGAGGCATTTAGCGCGTCGCGGTAGACGCGAATTGACTAACACAGATAATGCATCTGTCTTTTCTATCATTTCACTGTAGCTCAGCATCACGATGTAACGTTAACGTTATTACTTTAACAGCAGCAGTAAAACTGTTTCTACTGTGATGGTTTAACTTTGCAATCAATCCGTGGTTCAGCAGAGGCTGATATATAAAAGTAGCCTAGACTATTAAACTAAGTAAAGCGCTGTAATGTGAACTGTCAGTGCGAACAATAAAATCCGATTTTACAATTCCTGCAAATGCAGTGATGAAGTTCATGTTCTCATGATTTATTTTTATGAATAAAAATGTTTCAAAACATCCCCCCTCTGGTTTTTTCACAAATCGCACTGTGTATGTGATAGAGTGGCTCCTATTTGCACACGAAAATTTCTATTAGAGAGGAAGTTGGGTGATAAAAATGGTAGGTGTGTGTTTGACAAGAAGTTTGGGTGATTTGGGTTTTCTTTTTTGTTGAAGTTGAGGTTTTGCTGATTAATTGTGTTTTTTCTTGTTAACCAGGTCAGATCTGTCTGCCACTTGCTTGGTCGGTAAAACCACAGCAGCAAAAGGTTTCTCAAACTGAAAAATAGGAAGCTTTTCAACCCCCTTTCAATCTTCTGCATAGTTCACTCTTTTAAGGCACTTCACTTTTTGAATTTCTTTTTCTTTTATCCACGAGGGACTGTTCTTTGATGAAGATGGATGGTGCAATTCCTGCATTTTGGATATATTTTCCCTCATGTCATTCCTCTCCGTAGTTATGACAAATAGATTTGTTTTTTTTTTCATCCAGCAGGACTATGACCAAACCTCTGACAGTTGAAGCCAAAGCATTGTGTTGATCCTTAAAAAGCCACAGCTAATCGCATCTCTCAAATGCCAGGACTTCTTCCTCCACAGACACAGTGCCAACAAGTTGCCCCATTTGTCGCCTTTACGAATAGCAAGGGGGTGGCTAGGGACCTATTTAATCGACAGCCATAATATTGTCATAATATTGTAAAATATTAATTGATTGCCAACTGCGAGCCTGTAGAATGCATAACAGCACCGTGTTTTAACTTTGAAATGTGCAGCACATTTTTTTAAATTTAATTATCACATTAGGACGCATCATGATCCCCCACATGCCCAAATGCAAGTCCGCTTAAAATGATAATTAAGATACTTAAAATATTTAAGACTTATGACCTTAAATGTGATAAAACATAATTTAAGATATTTTAAAACGTCATGAACCCACGGGGATTCTGTATTGTATTACACTACGGTACATTAAGGCCTGGTTTCACAATTAGGGCTTACTGTACGTTCACACCACCGCCGACTTGGGCGTCAAAGAAGCTCTGGTCGCCCTGTCAAGGACGGTTGTCAAAAAGTACGGGGAAGCTTGTTGTCGATTTGGACGCTCTGACGTTGCAGGGAGAATAGAAGTGTCACAACATGAAATGTAATAAACAGAAAAAAAAACAAGCAATACATTGAAGAAACCTTTTATAATGACAGCATTTTTATAACCGTTTTGGTCACATTTGGTCGGGAAAAAAAAGAATAGTTAGCTATTATTATTATTATTATTGGTCAAATTGGTGTCACCGTGAGCAAATGAATTGCATTCCCGCTTTAAAACGAGCGTTCGTAAATATTTCAAATAAAAGTTGCGCTCATGCGGTCCCTATAAGCAAACAACGTCATGTCATAAATGATAGGAAACCTGTAGGAAACCCGTAGGAAACCCAGCAACGGCAATTATTAGCTTCTCCTCCATTTTCTCGGAACTAATGTTTTGGTAGGAACGAAAGTTTACATTGTATGTTTCTCCGGAATCAGCCAGCGCGAAGGAGGTCTATATTCCGATTGGTTGCTGCCGTTTTGGCGCTGCTTGCCGCTGAACCGCGTCATAGCTCATTACCATAAAGTTGAGCTTCTTTCAACTTTCTGATTGACGCTCAAAAAACGCCCAAACGCGACGCCGATGGATTTGACGCTCCTTGCAGCTGAGAAAAGCCAGCTTCCATTGAAAATGAATGACTTCCGGCCGCTTTGGAAGCTCAAGTCGGCGGTGGTGTGAACGTACAGTTAGGTTAAGCCAGAACTAGGCCTTAGTTCAATTAGGACATTAAGTAGCTTTTATAAATGTGCCTTAACCTCCTGAGACCCTGCGGCCTCATATGAGGACATTACATTTTTGCCTCTTGACACAATGATAGTCAAATTTGTAAATCTTAGACATGTTGGCCACATTTAGGGGCACTGCCCACACCATCTTGTAGTGATATCACAACATTACACCAATGTCAGTGAGAAGAAAATGACCCTAACCCTAACACTTCTACACCAGTTCCCGAAAGAAAAATGACCCAGGTAAAAATGTATTCAAATTATATGAATGAAACAAATGTATTTATGTACAATACTGTCTCTATCATCATATGGGGATTAAAATTTGACATATTTTAGTAATAGTAGCACTCTAGGACATCAGTAAATATGAAGTACTCGTTTGAGGACATTGGGACTATGTTACGTTATCCCCTTAACTGTCACCGTCCCACGTGGGACGTTTGCCCATATATATTTAGAACAATAATATCTTAGTAAAAACCTAAAGTAATATTGACAAATTAAATATCATTTGAAAGCTTACAATCTCTAGTTTTCATATTTGGTGGCTGTTTTTTAAAATAAATTACAGAATAGCAGTAATTTATCAATTTGCAACAAGAATATTTCATATACATTAGGCGTGTTTAGGCCTTTATTTTGAAATAGAAAAAAAAACATGAAAAATCATGAAAGATTGGTAGAAACCTCAGTTTGTTTTCATGCCAAGAGTTAAAAAAATAACACTAATTAAATGTTATCAGAAAAAAAGGTCTGAAATTTTTTAGAATATAAAGAAAAATATTATGAATTCTCGATTTGTGATGCGGCAGCGAGCTATAACACACATATGTGCTCTTTTTATGTTTATTAGAGGTTGAAATCAAATCAAATACTGCCAAAACACCCATACTATTTCTGAATAGGATGTATACTTAATAAATTGTATGAAATTATGGAAAGACATGGTTCAGATCACTCAAAACATATGAAAATGGAGACACCCTTATATGGTCAGTAAGGAAGCTGGCTGTCCATCTAGTGAAAAAGTTTGGTACTACGCCCAAATAAAATCTTACTGAAAGCTCATTTTTTGAGATATCAACCTAAAATTTGGAACACGACTTGTTTAGATTTTTGGCTTTAATTTTCTAGCAGTTTTAGAGTAAAATATATATTATAATATATATATATATTATATGAAATATAAATAATTATATTTTTACATTCTATATTTTCATAAACTCAAACTTATATAACTTTTTTTCTGTTTCATTTTCATAATTAATTTCACTTTTAATAATCTGGCAAATGTCTTCTTAAAAACAAGACCAACCATATGTCTATATTCCAAAGCATTCTTGAATTACAACCATTTTACAACCACAAGTTTTTTATTTTTATTGCTAGTACTGTGTCCTCATACGAGGACATCATATGGTAAATCATAGACCCACTGTCCTCACATGAGGACATCATTTTCTGCAAAAACTACTTCCTGTACAAAAACAAATTTTAGTTATTATATTTATTAGGTCCTACTTATCCCAAATAGCAAGAACAATTATAAAATGCACACCAGGCAAACTCTCGGGTCTCAGGAGGTTAAAAAACATTACTGGTGTGCATCTTGAGACAAAAAAAAAATGGTACTGATATATTAAGATATGTCAGTGCAAGTTGCTTTCAGTTAAGACAGCTCAAACATGCATTTTAGTCTGGGACTAGACTCAAGCCATGTCTGTGAAACTGGGCACATGAGAACCAAGACTAATTTGTGTGAATCATGAGTTAACCAGACTACACCAGCACTGTATTTGTTTTTGAGTGCAGCTTGTGAGGAAAATTCAAATACAAAATTCTTTTTGGCTTTATTTTGTGGCACTCACTTAATAGCCTTTTTATCTCATCAACATTCAATTCTGACATGCCACTGCTAAATAATGGCGCAGGAAAAACTTGATATATATATATCAAATATATTCTTTTATAGCTCACAATTTCTCTCATCTACAAGAGTGAACAGGACAATTAAAGGTTACTGTCACTCATCTTTTAGAGAATTTATACTGTAAACCATCAGCTTTATACTGTAAATGCATCAGCTATCTGATTACATTGCATGTACAGATCAGCCCTAACCAGCACAACAGGTACAACATGCAAAGCTTGTGGCTGAGTGACTGATAACTACCTACATAACTGCATAACTATCCTACCTCCAATTATCCTAGAGGCAGATAAAATCTTATAGACATTTTTAGATTTTTTGAGTAAGTATATGATTCCTTTCTGAATTCACAGAGAAATTCTTCTGCTTACCCATGAACTGCATTTCCCATTCTCGAACACTTTCCATCTGTACAGCGTTCAGGTCTGAAAGGTCATCATATTCGTCCCGTAATGCATCCTTCTCTAGGCAAAATGTCGCCAAACCCCGAGAGGCATCCCGTCCCGCAAAGATCCCATAGGGGCCCTCTGGAATGACAGACATACTGTGAGTATAATGGTTAGCAAGACAAATGTAAGATCTTCTACACATATTATAGGTGTAGGGACCAGAACTGAAAGTGCAACACTGCCAGGACTCCACCAACTATTGTTTGATTTCAAATTAATTTGTGAAAAAAAAAAAAAATCTGAAAAAAGTGCAGTTAAAGCTAAGCTAAATGTCCCAACCACAATAAAAATATATCTAAAAAAGAATAAAGTAAAATTAACTTACTTTTAATAATTATTTGCCTTTCCAATGTAGCATCATAAAGGATGTAAAGTGGTTAAAACAACAATACTTATAATTATTATTCATAATAAATAAAGCAATAACAACAATTATAGTAATAATTGTTAATACTACTAATAAGTAGTAGTAGGTACACTAGTAGTATTCATAATAAAAATTATTACATTTATTATATAATAAGTCTGATAAAAAGCTAAAGAAACCAGCTGAAGTGCAATCAAAACAAAACTCTGCTATATGAATCAACTAAAAGAAAACAGTTTTAGAGTCAGTGGGTCAGAAAATCCCAGACAAGCTGAAACCAAAGCAGTGTGTTGTCTTAAAAACAACCATACACAGCTGGGATGAAAGGAGCCGCTCGCACAAACCAGAGGAATGCAGGTAAACACACAGGTACTTCAGAACAGCTGTTGTAAATAACACCCAGCGCTGAATAAGGAAATTAATGTGAGATGTCATAACAAAACCACACCAACAAGAATCAACGTCAGCTGTGGACAGACTATTCAGGCCACAAGCTGAACCTTTCTTCCCAAACCGGAGACGTGACAAAGCTGAGCTCAACAGACTGATGAACTTCAGTCACCTAATCAAGACAAACAAATGAGATGATGCGATAAAAGACGACAACAAGAGGACATGAACGTCTCAGACACTTGAGTTTTACTTCATAAGCTCCTGAACAGGAACTAGAATCCATGATTCATAAATAAATAATACAGCTGCCAAAGCCAGATCATGCCTGACGATGACTAGGCTGCTCTTGCATGTGCAATTTATTATGTTCGCTTTCTTGTCGGTGAGACGAAGCTTTAGTCATTGTTTTATTCAGAACAGAAGGCAAAAGAAGAGGAAAAAGGCCTCTTTCGATACTTCTTTTTTTGGTTCATCATCTGATCTTCATGTGGAAAAGCATGTTAGCTCTCTCTCTCTCTCTCTCTCCAGCAGTTGAGCAATAATAGTCCTGAAAGATACAAGAGGTCCAGCCAAACATTGACCAAAAAGATCCAAGTTGCCCTATGGTCCAGTGATAAACACATCCCATCTGCCTACAAAGTTCAAACCTTTGCCATAGTCTCATCAGGTTAAATGAATGCAGCAACAGGTAAATAAAACTGATCTCATATTCTCTCAGTGAAATGCTGCAAGATGACAGACACATTGGATTACAGGTGTCTAAGAAATGACGCACTGGTCAGAGTCTGGACTACTGCTGACACCACACCTTGAACGCTCCTCCATAAACACCACAGATGGTCAGATAACATCTCATATACAAATATAGCCGAGAGAGATGTGAGGTCAAATCATAGACCCTAGCTAGCACCGTGAATCAAAACTTGGTAAATGCAAACAAAGGCCATGATAATCCAGATTTTATGTGCACTCTCGGTTTCACTTCTGAGCTGAGTCTCCAAATATAGACTCAAGGCAGACAAAAGACTGCTGTTCTGGCTTTCAGGCCAAAATATTCTATTATTATCTGCAACAAACAGCTGTTTTGCACAGCAGCTGCAAGTCTGTAAACCACGCTTAAAGCTGCAGTCGGCAAGTCTGGCAGATTGAGTGGACTTAGGCAAATTTTTTAATGTTTACAACTCTCATGGCCCTTCCCCACTATCAACAAATACCCTCCCACCGAGTTCATGCTGGTCAGTGCGTTGTGCACCAGATTTTCAGTGAACGCGCCCGTCTCATCAGCATCCATCAACACCATGGATTATTTGGAGGTATGCTGTCCTGGCTAATCTACCGATAGATTGCAATTGCTAACGTCATTTATACTCTAAACGAGCTTACTTGATTTTCCGCCATCACTCTTCGTTACTGCGCGAACTTCAGGCGTGTGCATGTGATTGTAACGTGCGCGAGGGGTGGCGTTAGGGATGTCCCGATCAGGTTTTTTTGCCCTCGAGTCTGAGTCCGAGTCATTTGATTTTGAGTATCTACCGATACCGAGTCCCGATCCGATACTTATATAATAAATAAATAAAAAATAAAGAAGAGAGAAAAAACAGATCCAGGATGTTCCTTATTTTTTTATTTAATTCACCTTATTTTAACATTCAACAACTCTGTTAACAAACAGAGCACTTCTGTGAGGTAGCTTGAACAATCAAGTAATAAATAACATAAAATCTTCACTTTTGGACTTTAGTGCAACAGTAAATATAGAAAAAGTCTAATATAAAAACAAATAGCACCTCAACTTAAAATACCCGGCAGGCATGTAAACAAAAAATAAAAATGTTTTAAAAGTGTATAAAAAAATAATGAGAATATAATATAGGCCTACATTAGGGGTGTAACAGTTCACAAAATTTGCGGTTCGGTTCAATAGGATACAGCAAAAAGAAAGAAATGCCAGAGAAATTTCCTATTTATTAAAAGAAAAACTATTTTTGTAGTTTTCCTACATCTTGAAACTTTCAGGTTTATAAATGGGGGTAATCTTTGAAGGATGAACAAATAATGTTTTGGTAATCACATTAAAAATAACATTTAAATATATATTTATATAATATTTGAGTTTTGAAGTGCAACATTAAATCCATGTTCATTCACGGCACAATGTTTCTCCTGGTTCCCACGTCAGCGCTGTTTGATCTAATAGAGATCTACGGTTAATAACGGAGAAATTTGAATGCTTCTCAGTTCTCACTAGATCTCGCAGCGATGTTATTACTTCAGTGGCGAATTCAAATGTTTTCTTCACTGGATCTCTTCGCTTGATCTCGCGCTGCACAGATGTTGATGGTCCGAACTGATAATGGTCCGTTAAGCACAATATAATGAGAAGCGCAGTTTCGTTCTGCTTTCATTACGTTTGCCATTGATGTTGCGCAACAATGTGGTGATCGCGCCAGCGCGGATTTTGTCTGCAGGAAAAATGGTCCTAGGAATCGTTCAGTATATGCGTACCGAACCGAAAGCCTCGTACCGAAACGGTTCAATAATTACGAATACATGTAGCGTTACACCCCTAATTTACATATATCCGAGTCCTGATCGGGAGGTAACGTCCGATTCCGATCGAGTCTGAAACCACGTGATCGGGCCCGATTTCCGATCGCGTGATCGGATCGGGACATCCCTAGGTGGCGTGTGCCCGATCTGTGATTGACAGTCAGATCTCACACCCCCCTGCGCTGATTGGACCCGATGATCCGGGAGCTGTGGATTTTTGCAAAACAAATAACACGCTCCAGGTGGAGATAGAAGCTCGGTTTTTTTCTAAAACCACATTATTTATGTTGTTCTGTCGGATTATAGTGTCGATTTCACTGAATATGATCCAAAAAAAAAATTGCCGGCTTTAAAGTACAGGGAAAAGAAACAGGAATTTTTTCCTGCAGAGGAGAAAGGAATGAGGCTCGGCTACTGCTAAACTTAGCTGATCTTACATCCGTCATAACAAATCGAGCTGTTAACTTTACAAATTTAAATAAAGCAAATTGATTATATCGCACAAATGAATGATCTACTGTTACAGTACATACCTGTTGGGTGTGCCAGAACATGGCTCTCACCCCATTTGTCCACATCACGTGTGGCTCTCGTCCAAAAATGCACTGACATGACAGGTTGATGCCTGGGAAAGAGTTCACCAAGGCAAAACAGAGCGGGAGAATGTTGACCGCAGTTATGATTAAGACAGAAAGGGCCTGTCAAGAGGTTGGCAAACTCTGATAAGACATCAGACCAAACTGTGCATCATACAACAGAGGTCTCTGGGAGAAAGGCTTTGTGTGACTTTACCGAGCAGTATTTACCAGAATGAGCTGGTCATTAGCTTTCCTCTGACCAGAGTATTGGCAAGTATAAGCTGGTTAACACACAAGCTCTTCTCCTATGGCAAGCTCCAGGTGGATTACTTAATTTTTCTATTAAGTAATCCAGTTACACTATTTTAAGGTGACATTGTTAGTGTATTTACACACAGAAGTACTAAGTAATATGAATTAACAACACATAGGCCTACTTACTATAAGTTTAGGTTAGTTGTTTGTATTTATGCATATTTTACTGTTATTAATATAGTAAGTACATGTAACGTGCAAAAAGGACACTAAAATAAACTGTTACTGTAATGTAATTGTATCTTTCACTATTTTACTAGTAACTACTGCTCATTATGTTAGTATTTATTCCAGTAGTGACTAATATATATTGAATAAGTATTAGTGACTAACTGAATAGATACTAATCAATATTGAAGTACGTACTAGTATCCAAGCATTCTCTAGTACTTATTTATTAGATAGGCCTACTACCAACTTACCCAGTTGTGACATAACTATTATTATTAGTCATAAATCTAAATCTGTGGTACTGATATGAAATATTAACTTCAGACTGGTATGTGTTCCAACTGTTGCTGGAAGTGGAACCTAATCCAGTTTTAGTAATAAAAAAGTTACACTTTATTTGAAGGTGCCCATGTTACAGTGTAGTGTCGAGTACAAATAAGTGCAGAGTAATATTAATTAATAACCACATCTACTTTCTATAGAATAAGTTTGTCGTTAGTTGCTTGTAATTATGCAAAATGTACTGCTAATACTATAGTACGTACATGTAACAGGGACATTTTAAAATTAAATGTTATCTAATACATTAATAGACTTGAACGAATACGTGCTTAGTATTAACCATAGTAATAGTTATATGTTAGTATGAATAGTATGAATTCCAAGTTTACTACCCTTTTGTTTACTGCCTACTAGCATCTTCTCTACTGCTTAAGTTGAAAACCCCGCTGAATGTGGGTGTGAGCGTGAGCTCCTTACCGCGTCCGTAAAACTTTTTGCCACTGGTCACATCGAAGACCTTGGTATTGACTGCCATGAGGATGCGCGGGTTCTGCACCCCGTCGTACTCGCGCAGCTGCTGCAGGGTGAAGTCGCGTCTCCTCATCTTGGGTAGCGGCGAGGCCTCGCTGCCCCGGCCCGCGTCCTCGCCCGCCCTCCTCCACCACCGCGCGTAAAGCACGTAACACGCGGCCAGCACGAGCACTAGAACGCTGAGATTGAGCATCATGCCGCTTATACCGAGACCGGACCCCGTATCCAAATCCTCCGTCGTCCCCTGCTCGCCGCTGGTGTCCGCCGCTGCACTCCTACCGTCCCCATCGTCCGCCATACTGCAACGATAGCGCCTTCCCACCGCACGCGACCGCCCGCCCAGCTGGCAGACAGAAGCGCGTCTGATTGGCTGTCTGTCGCCGGAAACACCGCTTTGGCTCCTGGAATTTGTAGTTTTCTGGCAGCGTGGCGCCTACAAGACCACCGAGCGCATGAGACCAGACAAAGGTTTCAGATAATTAAAAACTGTCATGATTATATTTATCATTAACTAACCGCGATGAATTACAACAGTATTCAGAAATGTACTTATTAACCCTTTAATGCATGAATTTTTATGATAACCTCAGTCAGGATTTTTTTCCTGTGTTTTTATTGCTCTCTAACACTTGAATTATTTTTAACACATTTTTCAAATAGATTTTCAGATGTCCACTTGAGTGGACAGCATGCATTTATGGTTTAAACTGAAGAGATACTGTATTAAACATAATACAATAATAAAACAGATATAGTGGGTGTATTTAACAAACCAATTAATAAAATTATATAAAATCATGTAAAAACTATAAAATATATGCAAACAATAAAAATGCGAAATATTGCAAAGGCAATTGAACTTCATACAAGTTGGACTTCGCGTATCTTCGATATCAGAACAATCATTCATGAGGACGTACACTTCCATCAGATATTTCTACAGCCTGTCAAGGTACAACTGGAAACCACTCAGATGCTCCCTCCAGTGTACCAGGGTATGTCAATTTACCCTTATTAGCTGATAATTCTGATTATGTTAAAGATGGACACATTTTTAGCCCTCCTCTGAGAAAGCCTAGCGATACGTTTTTTTCAATCTCATCTGAAATGAGCACTGTTGGGGTAACACATTATAAGTAACATGCATAACGCAATCAATTACTTTTTTGATGTTACGAGTAAAGTAATGCGTTACAAGTAACGTGCATTACGTAATCAGATTACTTTTTGATGTTACGAGTAAAGAAACGCATGACAAGAAACGTGCATTAGGCCTACTAATCAGATTACTTTTTGATCTAACAAGTAATGCATTACAAGCAACATGCATTACGTAATCAGATTACTTTTAATCTAACAAGTAATGTGCATTAAGTAATCAGATTACTTTTTGATGTTACGAGTAAAGAAATGCATTACAAGTAACGTGCATTACAAGTAACGTACATTCAAATCTTAAATTAAAATTAAAATCAAATTACATTACTTTTTTGATGTCAATGAAATTTATATTCTAATAACACAAATACATTTCTTTACAGTCAAAAAATGCTGTTTATTTTCAAATATATAAGTATATAAAGTATAAGTATGAATTGTAGCTGAAATATAGCCATTGATGCATAAGGTCCACTATAGTGGACAGGTGATTAATCAGAATTTTCTCCCAATCTAAAATCAAAACTTGGAAAATTGAACTGTGATATGACTCATTAGATATTGCTTGATGCTACAATACTTTTTTTTACCTGCAAGAGTCTCCTAGGATAGAAGGAATGGGTGGATATTCCGGAGCAACTTGGCATTTCTGACTGACCCTTTGCCATCTTAGTTTGGAGGGGTGAAAAAACGACACACAACGGCTTGCAACTTGGTTGCAATGTATAGGATGATGCACCAGGGTCCACTGTAAATATTGATGTACAACTATGCCATCAAAACCCGTGCAAATTCAAGAAAATGCTTTTTTTAATAGCTGTCCACTGTAGTGACCTCTATGCATGAAAGGGTTAATTAACTTGAAACTCAAGTATGTTTCATATTGAAAAATCTATCACACATTTAAAAAATTGATGTGCATTGAATACAAAACTGATTTAACTGCTTGAAAAATATTACATGGCAGGCTATATCATCACTTTATACATATATATATATATATATATACAAAATTTAACAAGGATAACAGTATCCCCTATCCGACCTTTATCTTCACAAGCTAGAATTTCCAAGCTTACACAATTTATATCCAAGTTCCTTGACTCCCCCAGTTTATGGAGACTTATTTATTGTTATAGTTTAAAAGTGTCTGATCTTTAAGTCTAAAGTAATTGTTTACAGTGTATACTAAATGAACCGTATTGCTTACACAATAGGAGCTGCATTGCTTAAGTGTGTTGTGTTTATCATTTCTTTTTAAGAGGGTTCCCACAGTCACGGAAAACCTGGACATGCTATGGAATTTTTAGAGGGCTTGCAGGCCTGAACAAATCTTTAAACAAATTTCTATATCAAAAACACATGCTTGAGGTTATGCTCAGCTCTAAAATATTGGGTAAATATCGGTCTTTGTGAGTGCAAATTATTATTGTTGTTATTAATCGTACAGATGAAAAAGTCATGAAAAATCCTTGTGTAAAAGGTGTGGGAACCGTGTAAGACCCAGTATAACAACATTACACTGCACACTTGACAAGAAATACAATATATATTATTTTGGGGTTTTATAAACAGATTTTAATATATTTTATGTTTTTTTTACATTTTACAATTATGAGGAAAGAAAAATTAAACCAACATGCATACCAACACACAAGCGCACAAACAAAAACTTCACAATAAAATGAATCAATAAAAATGAATTGATTGAAATTAGAGAGCTGCTTCTAATATTTTTTTATGTACAGTTTTCATAAGCAAATATGATACAATCGGGACATCAATTCAGTGTCTGATTAATGATCATAAGTGAGGGAAAAAACCCCACTGATTTAATGTTATCAGCAAAGATCCAACCTACAAAATAAAAATGCAAATAAAAGTATTCTCTGGGCCACCATGTTTGCAGTCATTTACACTCTCTCTGTAATATCAATAAAAAAGATTCTAATCAATTAAGTTTTCAATAGAGAGTAAAACAATAAATTATCTCAAACTCAACTCCAATAGGATTAAAAATTTAAAAGGAAGGATAATTCCTCTCAAAAAGATAACATTTCTTAGAAACTTCAAGTACACAGACGTTTTCCAATTTAAGTAAAAATTAATAAAAAGTTCAAAGATGTTTTCTCTTCCTCTACTCTGCACCTAAAGATGTGGCGTCTTTGAGATCACCACTTCCATGACGAGAACGGCACAATATTAGTTTAAGAGCAGGAACATCATGTAGTTCCTGAAGATGTTAACACTTTTTACAATCCCTCGCCACTTTGGCCTGATATCAATGTACTTCTCCGATATTCAGCTCAGACACTCAGCTAATCATAAAAGCATAAAGAACTTAGTATTCCCATCGCGGTCATATTTCATAACAAGCTAAAAGAGCAAAAAATAAAATGCAAAAAGCTATATAGTGTGTTATCTTGTGTCAACCTCAGTTCAAGTTAGAGATTTTTGTTTGTTTGATGAGCTTTTTTTTTTTTTGAGTTTTTAAAATAAATGAGCTAAAATGTGTGTGCTGGGCAGGAAATGCACAGACACAAATTAAAAAATACTTTTAAACACCAAAAGATTATTCATTATTTATGCTGACACAGCTGTAAAATAATTATATTTTTTGTTGCTTTTGAAATGTAAGGCATTTGCAAAGGTAAAATAAAATTTTAAAAGAGATACAACTGCATTCGATGTAGGAATGCATCTTCTGTAAACTTTACAGCAAAACAAGTTCACCATGCGTACTTGATTCTGAAACTACTAACTGTGGGAAAAAAACAAAGAAAAGAAAAAGAAAGCAAAAAGATCTTCTGAAAGTTAACCTGTCCAGAAAAAGTGTCTTGTACAACACAAAGATGTCTCTGGTTTACTCTTCAGTTTCTGACAGTTGGTCTTTGCTCTAACGGTTTGACTGGCTCACTTCCGAGGTTACGGTGTAAAACGTAAGCCTGCATCAGCACTGAAAATCTTTTCACAGCTCTAGAGTTAGAATCACACTCAAATACTGTATATAGTGTAGTAAGGGCCTCATTTCTTTGGCTGTAGGGCTTCTTTGTTTTTGCTGGTCGCCGCCTCTCCTTTGCGAGCATCCGATGAGGTATTCTTCTTCACATTCTCTTTGGGTGGGGCTTTTGTAGACGGGTCATTAGCCATGCCGCTCTTCTGATTGGCTGAGGCTGCCTTGGCTGATGGTTGATTGGTGGTTTTCGTTGTCGTTGGGGCAGCGGCCTGATCAGTCGTGGCTGTTTTTGTCATTCCTCCAGTGGTCAGCTGATTGTCTGAAGATGTCTTGGAGACGGGGGTCTGTTTCGATGATGATGTCGAGTTGTGTCGTCTACGTTTCACCTCGTCTCCTGTGAATGACGAGTGTGCTTTCCTCCTTACTCCTTCCTCTGCCATTGGTGGCTAAGGGCAGGAGATTTACACTTGATTTAGATTGCAAATAGACTAATTTTATATACAGTTAGAAAGCAATTAAATGCATTTAGACTAATATTAATATATTATTCTGGACTCCAAAGCTTATTTCCCTTTGCATAGTTTGCAAGGGGTCACATTCACATCAAAACTGATGCCTATACTCACATCTACTCTGAAATCATCAATGCTCTTGAATTTGCTGAGGTATTCCTGGAGTTTGGGGTCAATGGGCTGATTCTTCACCTTTGCGTATTTCAGGAAAGCCCAGAATTTCTCCAGTCCATATAGCTGACCTACATAAACCCCCCAAAAAACATCAGCATGTAGAGTGAAAAAAAACAAAAAAACATCACATGACCAAATGATCAAGAAATACATTCAGAATTAGTTTTAATGATTGACATTTGATGTAAACATTTAAAACCAGAAATGCAGACATGGCAGTAATGCAGAGGTGGTGGTTGACTAATAAGTTTACACCAATGTCCCGAGTAAGTGAATTTCACCAAAAAAAAAACACCAAACACTAATTGTGAGTGATATGCAAAGTTAAATAAGAACAATAAACATTTCTTTCTTCGCACGTTTTTTTATATTCGTTTTGTCAAAAATTATGAGTGACTAACCTTTCTCATAGTCTTGCATGGTCTCCTCTTGGAAGTCCTTGAAGATGTCCTGTCTGAATCTCCGCTCAAGTCCATAGCTGTAGAACCGGAACAGACACTCCAGTCCGTACCTGTGACAAACATTTGAACACACATTAGGAAACCTTTTTTATTTTGGTTATGTTATTTATGCACCCTCTTGCAAAACTGCGAGGCTCTTGAGAAGGGGGTCAAATTAACCTGGTTGACTTACTTCCTGGTTAAGCATCTGAATTCTCAAAGGTAGATAAATTCTCCAGACAAGATCTACAGATAAAACAGAATTCAGGACCATGACTCTCACCTGTAGTTCTCCTTGGCGTCCTCCAAGGCAAACTGCTTGAACTCTTCATACATCTTTCTGTTGAAGTTGTCTCTGAGGAAGAAGGACCAGAATCTGAAGAGGGTGTTCATCTCCTGAGACAGACCCACACCTAATCGTTTCCTCTCTGAGGGGAAAAAAAATGCCCAAAAATGAGAAATTCATGTAAAGCAGTTATATAATCTGTGGTGTAAAAACAAAATAATCAGTGTACCGTTGAGGCATCGACGGCGGTATTTGTGGTAAACTTGCTGGGTGAAGCCATTTTCTTTTAAAAGCTCATGGGATGGATGCCAGAACTTGGGCAGGGACTGTGGGGTGCAGCCGTAACTGCCTGACAGAGCGGGGGCTCCTTCTGACGGAGAAGCATTAGAGCTGCTGTACAGAGGACGAGGAGGAAAAAGGAGAAAGAGACACAGTTGAGCAAACTTTCACCTCAGTGCTGAGGACAATAAATTAAAAAAGTTACAAACCTGATAGAGGAAGTGCGGGGTCTGTGTTCTCGTGAGTCCATTACCCAGCCTACATGGCACTCCAGTGGAGGGTTTGAACTGTGACGGGTTTTCCTCTTTCTGGGAGTCTAAAAGGGTGAGAGAAATGTTAATTAAAAAAAAAAATATATATATATATATATATATATTATGAAGTCATCCTTAAAATCATAAAATCTGTGTGCCTGGTACAAACTTACTTTTTCATCAAGGTTGCCACTATCTTCTTTGATGACAGGGTAGAAGCGTGGGGTTTTGGTGGGGTCCTGTCTTCCAGGGGTTCGTGGTGTACGTGGGGTATGGGGCACACTGGGGGATTCTGGGACATCCGTGGGGAAAGAATGAGCCATGCTAAAATCATCTACAGAAAGATAACAAAATTAATAATATATATATATATTTTAATATATGGAAATATAAAACTTTGGAATTTAAAATTAACCAAGTAATTTCTTATATATAAAATCTTGCTTTCATCTGTACAAATCTGCGACATTTCACATAGAAAGAAAAAATTAAATGAGTAAAATTAAAAAAAATACATTGAATGAATAAAATAAACAAATAAATAAATATTTAATTAATTGTTTATTTAAATACTTGTTTACGTAATAAAACAAAGATCGACAGATTCCATAGTTATCTCATAGACATATGAAGTGTGCAATCACCTGTTTGACATGGTGGAGGGGGTGGGATCTCCTGGCTGCTGTCAATGGGAAGTTTAGGGGTCAGAGTTTCAAACTCGTCTTGGCTTATCACGTTGAGTTTTTTAAAGTTCTCCATATCCTATAAATGTGAACCATATTGACATTATACACAGAGCAAGAACATTACTTCAAGAAGGCTGAAAGCATAAAAACTACAAGCGGAGCATCGAACTGAAAAACATAGACAACATAGACAAACTTCCCTGATGGGCTTCCTGTTTCTGCCTGTATGAACAATATATCATAACTGCTCTGTATCTGACTGCAGGCAGTGGACTTGATCAGGTTTATCAGCGGTTATTACGTGCAGCTGTTTAGAAATTACAACTTTATTATCCATCATAAAGACTTCAGTCTATTTGTCCGTTGAAAGTGAAGCTTTTAGGCCCATCAGCAGCATTAAATCTGACAGTGTAGTCAATCAGAAATTTTCCAAGAACATAATTTGCATTAACAGAGAGATGAATGTCAGGACTTTTTTTGGTACAGGTGACTGATATTATGTTCTTAATGTGTAAAATTCCACACGAACATCACAGCTCTTAACAATGAGAAATCATTTCATTTAATTTGATCTCAGTGACATCACAAACTCTTAACTCATTTGAAGAAAACCACATGTGCTCATTTCTGTCATTTTGTGCAGCTGTTTATCAGGTGTCTGTCCTATGAACTCCAGCCCACAGAGACCTTGGTCTAGTTAACACAGGTGTTACGACTCCCGTGAGCAGGAACAGGTGGGTAACCCCAATACCACTGTGCAGTTTAAACACACTCAGTGTCTGACTCATTCGATTCAAATTAAACAGCCAAATTAAACGGCTAAGATTCAGTTAATGTTAGTATGAATGGGCTCATACATCTAAATACGTCATACTTTTTTAATCCAGGAGGAGCCAATCGAGACCAGAACTCTACATATATTCTATCAGAGAGCTCTAGTCTGATTGGCTGACTGTGTAAATGGTACATACAGGTATTTGTCACTGTACTGTTAAAAACAAATGATAACACTTATTGTGATAAAATTGCAATGTACTAAAAAACGTAATCATAACAAGATAATATAGATATTAGCGTATTATCATGATAATATAGATATTAGCACATATCAAAGCCTAAAGAGGTGTGTGATCACAAGTTGAATCCTAGAGTGCACAGATTGTTTGAGAAATAAGCGAAGACACGATGTGTGATCTTAGGCAAATATTTTCAGTATATTTTTGGTAACCACAAAGCAATTCAAACATTTGCAGTGGGAAAATTCCCATGTTACTGCTGATTATGGACATTTATCTGAAGCCAACAGCTGCTGAACAAACACCACACTCAGCACAAACTATAACTCTAATAGAGTTACTATTACGCACTCATTTTCTCTTTAAAGGAAACTTTTTTGTTTGTTTACACTACTGTTCAATCTGGAAAAATTTAAGAAATAACTTTTATTCAGCAAAGTCGCACGCTAAATTGGTCAAAAGTCACATTAAAGACTTTTACATAATTACAAAAAAAAAATCTAATTCAAATAAATGCTGTTCTTTTAAACTTTCTATCCATCAACAAATCCTTTGCCATGTTTCTTGAGCATCAAATCAGCATATTGATTGCTGAAGGATCATGTGACACTGAACACTGGAGTAATGATGTCGAAAATTCAGCGTTGCCATCACAGAAATAAATGACATTTTAAAAGATATTAAAAATACAGTTATTTTGAATTGTAATAATATTATTTCACAAGAGCAAAGTTTTTACTGTATTTTTAGTCAAATAAAAGCAGCCTTAGTCAGCATAATATACATAAATTATTTTGTTTGAATCTTACAAATATTAAACTTTTGAATGAAAGTGTATTTTATGGAATTAAGGGGGGAAATATGATGACAAGATCATATTTGGTCATGATGGCAACTCCACAGTGCCATTGTAAGAAATATAACCTTTCAACATAAGTTATATTCAACATTTAAAATAAGGGGGAATGTTTATAAATTATGTAGTTAAAGGAGAACTCCGGCGCAAAATGAACCTTGGGTCTACTAAAACATTGGTACCCAGTCACCCGTTCTCTGAGATTTGTTTTCATGATAATCGAATGTAAAGAGTTTTATCTCTAAAAACTGTTTAGCGTATAACGCTAGTAATGGGGGCATTTATTAAATAAAAAAGAAATCGCTAGTTAATACCACTAACAAGGCTCAAAATAGCCCCACACGAACACAGTAACATAATGAGGGTCCCTACATGCAAAACGAAGCATTGAGAACTTTGTAAGTGTACAGACCGTTTAATAAGAAGATAAAGATAAAGACAGTCCACTTCGTGTATACAGACAGGAGCCATCTTTGGAAAACAGTCTCGACTAATCAAACCACGAACGACGTGCTAAGTGAGCTGAACTTTATGAAGTTCAGTGAACTTCTGAACTGTATGAATGGCGTTCGTGGTTTGATTAGTCGAGACTGTTTTCCAAAGATGGCTCCTGTCTGTATACACGAAGTGGACTGTCTTTATCTTTATCTTCTTATTAAACGGTCTGTACACTTACAAAGTTCTCAATGCTTCGTTTTGCATGTAGGGACCCTCATTATGTTATTGTGTTCGTGTGGGGCTATTTTGAGCCTTGTTAGTGGTATTAACTAGCGATTTCTTTTTACTTATTATATGCCCCCATTACTAGCGTTATACGCTAAACAGTTTTTAGAGATAAAACTCTTTACATTCGATTATCATGAAAACAAATCTCAGAGAACGGTTGACTAGGTACCAATGTTTTATTAGACCAAAGGTTCATTTTGCGCCGGAGTTCTCCTTTAAAGGGAGCCTTCAGCCCAAAATGAAAATCCTGTCAAGCTACTCTCTTCCATACAATGAAAGTGGCTGCTGACCAGTGACAGCCGTGGTCACCTTTCACTATATTGAAAAGAGCATCTTTTTAAACATTTTATTAAAAAAAAATGTACTTTGACAAACTTTAAATTATGGATCACATTAAAATAATAATTCACAAAGCACAATCACTCTCACCTTGGCATTGGCACACTCTTGCGGTCCGTCTTCCGTTGTCCAAAGATCCTGTTCATAGTAGAACAGTCCATCGTTAATGGCTTTGGCGAGGTCAGTTGTAATTTTGGCACGTGAAACATGGTTCCCTGTCCGATCGCCCCCAGGGTGTTTCCGCAGGTGAGGGGGGGTCTGAGTAACGATCAGGATCTTGTTAACGTCTCGGTCATCAAGTTCATCATCAGAATCTTCATCTGACCAATCAGTGAAGGTGTTCTTGCGAGGCGCTGCGAGCCGTTCCATTTCTTCATCAAACAGGAAGTCCAGTTCCTCCTGGACTGCTTCAGGTGGCTGCTTAGGGCTGGACTGAACAAATTCTGTGTTCTCCTGAAGCAAACACAAAACATGTCTTATTTCCTTATAATAAATATGGAAAAAGAAATGATGCAAAAAGAAAACAGTAAGCAGGACAAATACTCAACTGCAGATGGGAACGACTCAAGAATAGGAGGAGGAGGAGGAGGTGAAGAAGTAAGAGGAGGAGGAGAAGAAGGAAGAGGAGGAGGAGAAGGAAGAGGAGGAGGAGGAGGAGAAGAAGGAGAGCTAGGAGGAAGAGGAGTTACTGAGGTCTGCACACCCACAGGACAGGAGATGGAACAATGGATGGAAAGAGGACATGATGGATGAAGAAATATGGAGGAGGAAAAGGAAAGAGGTGTGTGATCAAACCATGCTAGAAATCCTCTAGCAGAAGCATAAATTATAAAGAAACAAAAGTTTTATAAAACGAGAAATGGCCAAAAAGGAAGAAAAGCTTTTTTTTTTTGTTATTTTAAAATATTCTACAGTTGTGATATGTTTTAAAATGACTTTGCAATGAATGAAGCAAACAAATAGGGATGCACAACACTTTGGTTATTGGCCAATATTGAGATTCAATACACTCCTGGGTACAAAAAAATGGGCCAAGCCCAAAATGGCTAAACACTAAGCTTTTAATTGTCTTAACCACAAATTATTGGGGGAAATTATATGTTATTGTCAGGAAATTTTCTAAATGTAAGTAAATGCACTACTTAAAGCTCCTGTAGGTAACTTTTGAAAACATGTATTTGCTAAAACTGTCATTATGTCCTGACAGTAGAATATGAGACCGATAATCTGTGTAAAAATCAAGCTCCTCTGGCTCCTCCTAGTGGTCCTATTGCCATTTGCAAGAAATACACGCTCCCGGTCAGAAACAACCAATCAGAGCCAGGAGGAGTGTCTTAGCACTGTCAATCACGCTCGTGTACGCGCTGATCACACCCCTCTCTTGCACAGCGCGAGCGCCGGAGCGCGAGCCGTCGTTCAAACTCAAGATTGCCGGCGTGCTGCAGCTGTGCTTATGACGGAGAAACAACCTAAACTGCCAATTCTCGAGTGACACCTGCTCATAAAACAAAGAGGTAAAAGGAAAAAGACTGATGACGATAAACAAGCGAAAAAGAAAGAATTACACAGAGCCCATTGACTCGGTGTCAAAACTCTAGCCGCATAACATGTAGATAAAATGTCACGCACTCTGCTAAGCAACAATTGAAACCTGCTAATTCACTGGCTTGTCATGTTGCTGAAATAATGTACTAGCACACCTTATCTAGCATTATATATCGCTAGAATAATTACTTGCATACTGTAACGTTAGTTACCGTTATATTAACGTTATCTTACTAGCTATTTATAACTTATAGAAAGAGTGCAACGTTATAAAGTTACATGTAGGCTATTGGAAAATACATAATGATTTGAGGACCAAGTTTGTAGTCAAAGTATGGGCAGGCCATAGTCAATGTAAAGCATATTATTGACGTTTAGTCCCTATTAGTGAATGTGCCATATAACTTTTTATCCGCTGTTATCGGTGGCCCTGTTTACTAGCCTGCGCGTTCACGACAGGCTCCGCTGTGGAGGACGAGCTGTGGAGGGAGGGCTGTAGCGCAGCAGAGAGCAAGGGGGTGGGACCTGTAAGTTGTGCTTGTTCAAATTTTCAGGCTAAGTCAACGTTTTCTCAAAACTCCCTACTGCAGCTTTAAAGAGACCATTGCTGTCTCCGAAAAACCGAATGAAGTTTTTGGCAGAATATGGGAAGTTTGATTCAGAGTGGTTCAGGAGAGTTGTGTGGACATGAGTTGCATGGTGTGACTGTTGCAATGTCTTTGAAATTCTGCTGAGAAATATAATAATAATTGCATGTCTAGTGAAGCATAGAGGAAGAGGTGTCATTGTGTGGGGAGCCTTTTTAGCTGCTGGTATTGGTGAACTGCTTCACTGTGAAAAGTCATTTAATGCTTTGGAGTACAGGAGAATATTGCAGGATGGCTTGCTTCCCACAAACGAAAAGTTATCTAAACAACTTTTTCAACAAGACAATGCTCCTGCCCAACTTGCAAAGACAACCAAGAAGTGGCTTGAGAACAAATCCATCAGGCTCATGTTTTGGACTGGTCAGAGTCCAGATTTGTACCATATAGGGAGACTTTTTCCAACTACCCATGAACTGTTTGAAGCCATTAACATTGAGTGCAATTCTTGCTAATTTCTTGACCAGTTATTTGTGATTAAAATGGAGAAGACCATTAAAAGACCACAAAATATTTTGCTATTTTTGGCCCATTTTTTTACCCAGGAGTGGCAATATGAGCAAGGATGCATTAAATTAATCAAAAGTGCCAGTAAAAGTCATTTACAATGTTACAAAAGATTTGTATTTCAACTAAACACTGTTTTCTATTAATCAAAGGACCATGTTTTTAACATTAATAATAAAAAGAAATGTTTCTTGAGCACCAAAACAGCATATTAGAATGATTTCTGAAGGATCATGTGACACTGAAGACTGGAGTAATGATGCTGAAAATTCAGCTTGACATCACAGGAATAAATTATATTTTAAAATGTTTTACAATAGAAACCAATTATTTAAAATTGTAATAATTAAAAATAACTGTTTTTACTGTATTTTTGATTAAATTAATGCAGCCTTGGTGAGAATTAGAGACTTTCAAAGACATAAAAAAAACAAAAAACTTACCGGCCCTAAACTTTTGATCAGTAATGTATATTTAATTGGGATTTTTTTTTTTTTTCTTCATTTAGATTACCTCTGTTGTCATCTAACACTTTTATTTTATAATGTTGTGATGCCTAAATTAACTTGTAGGATTTAAAACAACTTTTTTCAGGATTGAACAATCAGGATTTCAACAATCATTTTTACTTTATTTAGACAAAATAGTATTGCATTTTAATTTAAAATATCAGCCTTTACATAAAAACTAACGTTGGCTTAATGGTATTGGTCAGATTTCAGTGCATCCCTAGTTCCCTACAAAATACTGACATTTATCACTAGAGTCTGAACGGATCCGGAAGTACCTTGTTTTTTCCAGAGGAGTTTCTGTGTCGTTTTTCCACCTGTATCCACGGCTGGACATCTGGATCAGAGAGACTGCTGGACCGCTCTTTTGGGGTATTCCCATCTTCACTAGAGCTGCTTTTTGAGTCGGAAGGAAAGGATTCTTTGGACTGAGGTTTGGCTGTGTCGGTGTCATCACTAGTTTGGCCATTCACGAGAGTGGGTTCATCCATGTGCTGACTGACTGGGGAGGACGATACTGTGACACATGTAGAGAGAGTGAGTGAGTGTGAATGCTAAAGTCAGGGAAACAGTGACAGAATAATTCATAATTGCAAAACAATAACAAGTACAAGAAAAAGGCTAAAAAGGCTAGAACACATCAGAACCTGTGCTGAGGGAGGTGAATGTCTGTCCTGGGACAAACTCAGGGCAGTGAATGAGCTGGGAGAAATCTGTGCGCGGGGAGTCTAGAGGAGGACCCGGGATGGGCCAATGCTCCGGCTCTTCTTTCCTACGGATCTGCTCATCAACCAGCTCCACGACATCACTGTTCTTCACCGCCTGCTCATTCACATAAAAACAGATATACAGTAACACAGAGTAACGATAATAATCTCTGATGTGTGTGTCCTGAAAAAGAGGTAGGTCAATGTCACCTCTTTTATGAGGTTGATATCAGTGGTGAGGGCCTGGACTCTGTGGAAACTGGCGATCAGAGAGATGGGCAGAAAGCCTTTTGTATCCATCTTTCTCCGCAGGAAGAAGTCACGCTCCAGGTTTGGGAGACTGAAGTAGTATTCACTAAAAATACACAAAAACAGCCATATGTAAACTCCAAAATAATAATTAAACAGTAGTTTCACATTTGCAGCCTATAATTACTGTGTAATAAAATACTAACCACAAAAATAGCTAGTGCATGTGTGCAAATAACATATAATTACATACAACTTAGATATCATTATTACATATCACATATTTAAAGCAGTGTATTTAATACAAATAAACAAATAAATGAAAATAAAAACTAAAAGAAAAAATATATTACCTCTGAAAAGCATACAAATATAAATATATATATATATATGTATGAGGTTCCTTTAATAGTTTTGTTAATTTGTTCCATGCACATCTGGTATAATGGCAGTGAAATGTTTCTTTTAATGTGTATAAAACAAATTTAAAAAAATAAGAAAAGAAAATGGATATACAAATAGGACAACTGTCAGATCACTAGAGCAAATTTTGCATTTTACTAATTTAATACAAATATGTTTTATAAAATTGTTATCATCACTATAACAAGTCAACTAAAATGTTTAATTGAAACATTAACATTTCAGAAGGTCTTAGTATTTGATGCATCTCTCTTACTAAAATGACATCAACATATTCTATTCATGCAGCTCACATGCTGAATACATTTTTTTGCCATATCATTTTTCATTTTTTAAACCCTAAAAGCCTAAATTAAAAAAAATCCTAGATTTTCCAAACAATCTCAGACCAGACTGTACATGTACGACAAAAGCTTGCAAAATATTACATTTTTAATTATTTATTGATGCAATATAAAGGCTATTTTCATGGGAGTCTCATAGAAGTATTTTCAAGAATTGTGTTGTATATTGCATATAATTTTATTTATTTATTGTATTGTCTGATTCAATGTAGAGCAAAATACATCTTGAATATGTAGTGCACATATCCAAGAACAGCTTTGTTCAAATTTTCTGTTGTGTATTACAGTCTTGTTCTCTAACTGCTGCAGGCGGTTGCACTTACACTAATGGTTAAATGTGCAAACTCAAAGAGAGAACTGAAATGGACATCATGGGAATAAGACAGAAATCTCACATCCCTTCAGCTACAGTATCATCCATCTCTTTTACAGCAACAAATGCATTCACAGATCAACACTCTTTTTCTGTCAATCTCTGTCCTCTGGGTTTTGTGTATTGTTTCAGGTGAGGAATGGTGCAGTCCCACTGCAGATGGCAAAGCCTCTGGCTGGATTCCAGTGAGACCAGGAGCAGCCAGATCTCCACCATCACTGCTGAATTTCGCATTTAAATATTGTACACTAAAAATGTTGAGCCTCTGTGGAGAAGCAGTTTGGAGAAAAGTAGATCAAATTTCTACTAACACATGCAAGTTCCTAAAAAGTACCCTGATGAAGAACCTGAAGGTGGAACTTCAGAGACATGACTGATGATGAAGCCCATTTAACACTTCTTAGCATACATGAAGAATTGTAAAAAAAAACTCCCCTTTAAACAGCAGAAGTGTTCTGGGAGGAACGGTGTGGCCTCCACCCAGAACACACCTTACATTCCAGCAGCTTTAGTCAGCTGAGGTTGCCCCATAAGCCATACTGTAAATGAATCTGGGGAGTTTCAGCCGAGGTGTTATGCAAGTTTCACTCGCTAGTGTGTTTAGGTGTGAGGAAAAACTGTCCTGGGGCAGCATCCAGTCCAAGGCACTTAGAAACGTGACAAATTACACAAATAACAAAAAGATATTCAAAATAAATGAATACAGAATTGGGTGGATAAATACGACACTTTAAGGCTGCATTTACACTGCAGCATTGATGGCCAATTCCGATTTGTTAACTATATCCAATTTTTTTTGATGACCAGCTTACATCTCCTTTTAAAAGTCACCCATATCCAATGTCTGCATTTACACTATAAACTATTTAATTGCGTATTTAAATACAGGGAACTACACTAACATTTTCCACTGGTGGCACTTGCGCTACTTACTTTTTCAGTTACTAGCGCAAAACATGATTTGGTCGCACAAATTATTTATAGTAAGCTACTCTGGATAATAATGACCAATAATGAAACTGTATTGCATACAGATGTGCTTTTTATTTTACTTGCCATCTTTTAAACCAAATGCCTTCTTGTTTTCTTTAAAATTGGTTGGGATAGATTTACTGCAATAGAAAATACAGTAGGCCTACACAATAAAGTGCTAAATGAATTTCTTTTGGATTTCAACATGCTATTGCAGGCACAGATGGGAAGACTTCTGAACTCTTAAGGAAAAATAAAATAAATATAATCCACTTCGCGTGCTTCATACTGTCATAGTGAAGCTTCAATGATTTGTGTTTGAATTGTTTTGACGCAGTTACAAATTTGGACAGTCCTGAAGGCCCACAGAATTTACAGTAGGGCTGCACGATATTGGTAAAAAATGACATTGCGATATTTGATTTTTCTGTGATATATATTGCGATATAAAAACAATTTCAAACAAAAAGCTCTATTTGGAAAGAATGAATCATTCTAGAATGACTGGGGTGGTTTTGTCATGGAGTAAATCCACATAGAAACTAATATTAATAGAATGTTTTAATGTAGTTAACTAGACTTTAATAAATGGAACCTTATTGTAAAGTGTTTCTGATTTATGTCTCTTGAGTTCAGTGTTGGACAGATCAGTTGTTTTAACCATTCATTAAAGTGAATCGGTTCAAAGGAGTCATATTAGTTCGCGAATCGGACGTGTCATTAACGGACCACGGCACACGTTGTGTGATTATCCAGGCAGTTTAGGACATCGCACAAGATTTGTCTCACTCTCAACACAGAAAACATTTAATCACTAGATAGATTTTTTTGTTTTGTTTATTGAAAGTGTGGTTTATGTCATATTTGTGTGGAAAGCTTTTCAGAGAAGATGAGGCAACGTTATTTTAGCACAATTCACAACCAGTGGTAGTTCAGGAAAAAAATACCATCGTGTATTCTCAAAGATATTCAGTCAACTCAATTCATTAATATGAGCGAGGGCGGGAGAGAGAGCAAGACAGTGTGAAGACGGCGAGAGAGTGCGCGCGCGCGGCTTTCACTCTCTCTCGTTCTCTCAGTTAAACAAGCGCGAAGCCAACTTGATGTGTTGAATGCTCAGAGAACGTTATAAAACGTATTCTTAAAATACACATTTCTGTTTTAATAAATGCTCATAGTAAATCATAGCATATTGCCTAAAACATATAGGTACAAAAATAATCAAACGGTGATACATTTGCGACCCATTAAAAATTAGGGTCGCAATGGCATTTCAAAAGGTCGCATATGCGACCATTTTGGTCGCAGTGTAGTTCCCTGAAATACAGTTGTCAATCCAGAAACTTTGCAGTGTACTTAGCACCATGAAAATCTAAACTTGTATTTCAATGTGAATGGGTAATAAACACAAAGCAAGAGAAGAGTCTCCCTTTATAATCACTAAGTCTGCAAGCTCACGGGATTCTGCACTTCCAGAAAACTACCCTTACAATAAAAAAGCTGTCTCAATTGTACATGAATCTCTAATTTACATTGTGTTTACACTTTGTTGGTTGTAATGAAAAGATTTGCGAGTATACGGCTTGCTTTGAACAAAACAAAACCTTGTGCCTTTTCAGCGCTGTTAAGAGGATTCTGACTAGCACCTCAAAGGGCCATTGCATTCACACGCTCAACATATATGATTGTGATATATATATATATATATACACACACACACACACACACAATACAGTGTATATACATAATATATATCTGGGTGGATACATATATACCTGGGTGGATACACAATACATATTGAAACAACCATGGTTGGACCACGCTGGCCAATCAGCCGATTGTTTTTAAAATGGATGCTGAATGAAAACAAACATAACACATAAAATAGTGCTGAACTTTATTACAAAAACTGAAAAACAGTACTGAAACATGAAAATGTACTGTACTTTTAAATGTAAAATTATTAATATATTAAATGATTAACTAACATGAATGACATATGTATAAATAATTTTAAGAGATATAACTTTAAAATGTAAAAATGTATTAGCAAATGTTGAAATTAACAATGAACAATACTTTTATTAACCTTAATTAATGTTACAAATGGACTCTATTTGGACTCTCAAAGTGTTGCCATTTCCTATAAATCCAAATCATATAAATTTAAATATGGCCATCTTTAAAGCTGCAGTCTGCAGTTTTTCCTCTTTGTCGCCATCTCTGTTCGAAATCTGCAATTGCAGTAATTCGCGGAATTATCAACTTTACGTGAGTTGTACTTCGACACGGCACAGCGCGGATTAACACAATGTTTGAGGAGCGTATGCAGCTGTCAGTCGCCGCGCCGGTGTGGATACTAGCATTCAGAATCACAGATTATTCTTTTTGGAAGTATGATCAACATAAGAATTTTCACCCGGAAAATGTCATCTGAACAAGTAATATCCACTTTTGTTCTGGTTCTGACATTGCAGTAAATCGCGCTGATTAAATCTAACAATCGCTTATAAGTTATCATTTCACGCAAAACCGTGCAAATTATACTTTGTTCTCAAATTGTTAATGTTAACAACGTAAGCAAGCATTGCGTGACTACATGTAATGTCCTTCCGATATTATCCTTGTTTTCGCATGGGTCCGGTTGCAGTCTCTTTTTTTCTGTCGCCACTCTGAAGTCCGAACGAAGTCTTTTGCATTTTACAGCGGGTGAATCTGTTGTCACTGGTGATTGTCGTTTGAACCTTTCTGGATCCGCCATCAAATTGATAAGTTTAATTATATCAAGTGCTGTGAGAAAAGGCTATAAATCTCCACCTCCAACATTCTCACACTCATAGCCTACTAGCCGAGACTCCTTCTTTATGTGTACAGATGTGACGTAATGACGCAAAGACATGCTCGAATCTCCCGCGGAAATCCACCAGTACCACTGGAATTAAACACATTATTACAAGCTTACCGCTGAATCGAGCTAAGGCAAGCAGAGAGTTTTGAACACTGGCTGGTTATGTATTTTCTCAAATATGTATTTTGGATAATTTTTAACCCCAAAAAAGCTACGGACTGCAGCTTTAAACATCTACAAAAAGGCCATTGGATTAAAAAAAAGATACACATGTATGTTGTATGTATACTCTCACACTTCATTTTGCTTCCATTTTAGAACACTTGATGATTATCTAAATAACCAAATAAATATGTATTACATTAACAATAAAAATGTCTCATGTCACTAGCTTTAAATATGCAACTTTGCTGCATAATGAATGCATAAAAGCAACCAGCTGGATATAAACTAATGCAAATAGATGGTAACAATTGTGACATTAAACATTTGGGTCGGACTTGCATGTTTTATTGTCACATTGTTTTAACCGCTTGAGGTAACTATGTTAGCGTCCTCGTAGCCCTGATGGCAAGCATACTGCTGTTCTCCACTAATCCAGCATCTAGTCAAAAAATTAATTACTTTATAATTATATGAAAACATGTACTGTAGTGTACTGTATACATGCCATGTAGTCGTCTATGTTTTAAATCTGCATCTGATGTCCCGCTCTGTGCAGCAGTGTACAGTCTCACGTGTCAAAACAAACACTACGATGCATCATTGTTAGTTTTTCTAGCAATGGTCGCAACCCGGTAAAATTGGTATGGATTTTTGCCGATGACCGATTGTTCCAGCAATTGATTATAGATCCCAGCAAAACTGATCAATCTGTCAACCTCTAATATATATAAGTAAGGGATAATCCACGGCTAGCCATGCATTAAAGGATTTTAATGCACGACGTAGAGGCGAAGAACCACCCGACGCGAAGCGGAGTATGACAGGAGAAAAATGTAGATGCAGAATATAACACTTAAAAAAATGGACACAATTTAAGTTCTTTTTCTGTCGATTTTCTCAAAACAATTTAAGTGAAGTTTTATAATGTTCCTCTTGATTTGTGTGCTCCCTGTGGACTTTCAGCTCATTACATTCACAGTGTTGAGTAAAGTAAGCTTGGCTGAATTCTGAGAATAAGATCACATGGGCATGAACGCACACACAGAAGCAATAAACAAATAATATAGAGGGAAAACATGAACACAGACTTTCACTGTATGTATACAATATACATTTTCATTTCCACATGAAATGCAAAAGTCATTTTTTTTGTCATTTCTGACTAGGAAACGCACCCACACACACAATGGACCCAGTGTGCTCTGCCCTAATCTTTTTGACCCAGATCATCTGACCCCTTCCCCATCATCCATAAGGCAGAGGAGCTAAATTAAGGACACGTACAGACAAGGCAGTGCTAGGCCGCCTGATGCTGCAGCTGCTCCCCCTGCTGGTGGTAATGCATTAAACACTTTTTTAAAAGACAGTGACCATATTATAATTCAACCATGCTCACACTGTTTGGCTTATGTTACTAAACTGAAGATAAACCTCGAATGTCCAAATTCTCTAATGTGTCCAAATATGACCAATAAAAAAAGAAACCATCTGGCACACTGAAAGCCGGAGAGCTGAACAAGCAAATAGTGTGCTGTATTTAATTTAAATGCAAAGATAGGAGAGATATGGAACTTACATTTGGCGTTTGATATATTCTTTAAGCAAATTCTCCTCGATCGTATACATCTGCACGCGATTACCGTCGTCGTAGTAATAGATCATGTTAGTGCCGAACTCGGCTGGAGCCGTGGACTTATCCTGGTAAGAGTCCCGGTAACTGTGGGAGTAATCATAGCGACCTGGAAAGAAAGAGATAAGATATAAAATATTACATGATATATATATATATATATGTGCTGCAAATGTGACAAAAAGTGATGGAAAAGAAACAGCGTGTCAGGTGTCGATTTTTGTGCACAGACTGCAGAAAAGACGACTGACTTTTAATTTTAACGCAACTAGATTTGAGTGTGCATTCCCACTCAGTTTGCTTAAAATGTACATCCCGCTCCAACTTCACTTTAATTTTACATGACATCAATAGTTTGTAACTATAAAACTAATTTAATAGACAGTCTGACTGTGAGAAACGATCTTTAGGTTGTTTAGGGATGTTTATATGTTACCTCGTCCACGACCTCTGCCCCGACCGCGACCTTTGCCCCTGCCCCTCAGGCCTCCACGGACATTGCTGCCCTCACTGCGAACGCTTGCTGTGTCATCAAAGAAATCTCTCTCTCTTCTCCAGCCTGAGGGACACATGAAAGAAAAGGACAAGATAAGAGCTCAAATTAACAGTGCAATTCAAGGTAAAATATTTAGAGTGGTCTTGAATTAAAAAATGAACACTTATGTTTCAGGCATTAAAAATACATTAATCCGGAAATATAAAAATATAAACTGAGTTTTCATTCCAAAACACTCCCCGTCCACACTAGTGTGTTTAAGATTGTAATATAGAGAATCACCAAAGGAACATTTATCTTTAGCAACACTATGAAAGTAAATAGCAGGCACAACAATGCCGGTATGACCATAGAAATCAATGGGTGCAGTATGCGTCACATGACTAAACATGCATTTTTGAATACCTCTGTTTTCATAGTCCACACTACAATGCGAAAATGGTGTTTTAAAATGTATCCACTATGGAGAGCGTTTTCAAAAACGCTGTCTTGGTGTGGACGGAAGGCCAAAACAGAATGAAAAAGATGCGTTTTCAAACAAGGACTCGGTATTTGGTTTGGTCCCTCTATTGCTTTAATGGCAGCAGCCCTTGAGCTGCATGAACTCAGCAAGTTGGTGTAAAACCTGATAATCATGTGTTCCAGCATGATTTGACAAACTTGAGTTTCAAAAAAAAAGCAAGAACATCTGACCGTCTGTACAAATGATTGACATTTACTTTTTTGATTAGTGACCTAGAAAGAGAGAAAAAAACCTTACATTTTAAAAATGTATTTATGCTGTCATATACTGTGTATATATATATACAGTATAAAGTGTTTGGTGCACCTGTTCAACTGCCCTTTAACGCAAAGATCTATTCAGCCAATCACATGGCAGCCACTCAATGCATTTAGGCATGTAGAAATGGTCAAGATGATCTGCTGAAGTTCAAACTGAGCATCTGAATGGGGAAGAAAGGTGGCTGGTTGTTGGTGCCAGACAGGCTGATCTGAGTATTTCAGAAACTGCTGATCTACTCTGATTTTCATTCACAACCATCTCTAGGGTTTACAGTGAATGGTCAGGAAAAAAAAGGAAAATATCCAGTGAGTGGCAGAATGGTTGAAGAAACAAAGTGGCAGAAGAAACAAAACGGCATAAACAACTCGAAAGCATGGATCCATCTTGCCTTGTATCAATGATTCATGCTGGTGCTGGAGGTGTAATGGTGTGGAGGATTTTTCTTGAGATCAATTGAGCATCATTTAAACGCCACAGCCTACCCGGGTATTGTTGCTGACAATGTCCATCCCTTTATGACCACAGTCTACCCATCTTCTGATGGCTACTTCCAACAGGATAACGCAGCATGTCACAAAGCTCAAATCCTGGTTTATTGAACATGGCAATGAGTTCACTACAGTCAAATGCCCTCCACAGTCACCAGATCTCAATCCAATCGAGTACCTTTGGGATGTGGCGGAATGGGAGATTCACATCATGGATCTACAGCAACTGCGTGATGCTTTCATGTCAATACTGACCAAAATCTCTGAGGAAAATGTTTCCAGCACCTTGTTGAATTTATGCCAGAATTAAGAATTAACCCTCTAGGCGCCACGGTCGAGTTTACTCGACAAGATGCGGCACTGAATAAAACGGCCGATTTAGTCAAATTGGGTGTCAAATTTCGTTCAACCTCCCCTCCACTGGATGGCAGACATGTCATACTTCATCCCCGAATCAAAAAAACGTCATGTTTCTATACAAAATGTTCGAGTTAGAGCGTTAGTTCGAGTTAGATTGAATCAGTGCGATCAAAAGCGGAGCTAGTGTGCGAGTGAGCCATTTTATCAGATCCTCTCCGCAATCGCGGCGACAGTATTGTGGTGGAGACTTTGTCTAATACCACTGGGTATGTTAGATGAGGTCGAAGTATTCATAGGACAGTTAGGAGGCAACGTGGAGGCAGGGTGAGGAGTCGAAATGACAATGACAGTAGTCCGAGCTGTGCACACTCGGCGCGCGCGCGAGGCAGATCTGGCCGTGCTGCTCGTATCATCTGACTCATGATCTGTGCGAGTGAGCGTTTGAACTAAACAGGTCTTGTCTACTTGTGTTTGTATGTCATATGAATAATATATATGTGCCCCATACATGGAATCAGAGTGCCTACTGTATTTAGTAAATGGAAAATCTCTACAAGAAAAGGGCAACCACTACATGCATTCGGTTTGTTTCTACCATTTATTAGTAATGGTTTACACAGTTTGTTTACTACTTACTATATACCTGAGCATTCAGTATTGTGCAATATAGCATACAGAAGGTGATGGGCATTTTGGGGGGAAAGAAGTGCTGCATTTTATTTAAACATGACTTTTTATGAAAATTCTATAATCCAAGATTGCCACCACCATATGACGCCATAATATGCTAATTAGATGGGAAAATGTAATCCCTACATAAACTTTGGGTCATCCTTAATATTTCTCTAATTTACAGAACGTCTCTATCTTTTATCACTTTTAAGATATAGCCTTTTGAAATTAAGATGTCAAAATTGAACGTTTTAGGAAAAAACCTCTGGCGCCTAAAGGGTTAAGGCAGTTCTGAAAGCCCGGTAGTGCATATGCTTTAACACACATATTATGTAAGACACAGAAACAGAAAGAAACTTTCCAAAACCACTATGAGGGATTTTAGTAATGTCTTATATACTCCTGCCACAACATTTAGACAATAATTCATAACATATGATCCCACACTAAAATTTAAAAAGACATAATATGAGATTAATGAAGTAATTAAGGACCCATTTAATTAAGTAATCTGTCATGTGTAATACTTCAAGGATGTTGAGTGTCTGAATGTGTATGTGGCCGTGTGCATGTGTTAAGACATGCGTGTGAGATTTAAAGCATTTACGTGTCTGAAACCCGCCCAGGCATCATGAGAATTTCTAAGCTCTCAATCCTTTCAGTTTCTGTCTTTTCTCACTCTTTTTAGCTGGAGGTTGCTGCAAGTACATGTGATCATGTTCAAGTTAACACATTTCTCGAAGTTTGTTCGAGTGTTTGTAAGGTGTGCCAAGTAATTTTTTTCCACTTCCCAACTAATGAAATGAGAAGTACTTCTGACAATATAACCCTTTGTATAACCCTTTGAAACATGACATTCAATACAGCAGACAGATGTTTAAAAGACATTTTTAACCACTCAGGGTTTTATGTTACAGTCAAACCAGTGACCATGGGTAATTACATTTGACCTTTACCCATAATTCTATATGACTGTCTGCTTTACATGCCATTGTGTTTATTTTATTTTATTTTTATTTATTTTTACAAAATACATAATTTTGCAAACGAATTTGGGAATGATTGTGATCTTGTTAAAATAGAAAATGGCTATTCAAATTGTAATACTATTTTGCAATATTACTGTTTTACTGTATATTTGATCAAATAACTGGCACCTTAGACATCTTTCAAAAACATTTTTTAAAAAGCTTACCAATGCTGAACCTATAAACAGTAGTGTATACAGCATATAGTACTGAAAACAGTGTGTATTATTTGATCAGACTGCCAAAACTTTAAGGCATTTATACACAAAATTGGATAACAACGGAGTTGATTTCCAACAAGATAACTGGAATGTTTTAACCATCCAATGTGATGAGGTCATATGACAAAAGAAGATGTCATATGTCCAAGATGTATCACTACTCTCTGAAATGTTTGTGTAAAACTGTCATCTGTTATTTAAGTTTATATGTAAGCAGCATACACTGTCCAGCTTGCAGTAAGTAGTAAGCTTATATTCGATTACGAACACAGCCATGGAAATCAAATATGGATAGTTGAGCGTGAGTTAGTGCTGTCGGTCTGTCTCACCTCCTCTCCTGCGGGGGGCACTGCTGTGTGTTTCATCTCCATCCTCGATCTCCTTCTCGTTCGAAAGTCCAGTTATCGGATCTGACTGTGCTTCCCTGTTCTCCTTACTGTCACTCCCATCACTTCCACTCTCCTTCTCTACCCCATGATCCTTCTTCCTCTCCCTCCGTCCGGACGTCCCTTTCCTCCCATGTGTGTTTATCACATTCTGCTGCTGCTGAGGAGTGCAACGAAATCAATATCTCAGTTAAATAAATCTGAACTCAGCAGAATAAAGCCAGCAGATCAGTCAGTGAAACCAAAGACATATACATGATATGGAGTGAACACGGTTCATCATGACAGTGCATAAAAGTTTCTTAAAGGAACACTCCGACTTTTTGGGACTTTAGCCTATTCACCTTATCCCCCAGAGTTAGATAAGTCCATACACATACCTTTTTCATCTCCGTGCGTGCTATAAGTCTGTTTGACGCACCCACCGCTAGCCTAGCTTAGCACAAAGACTGGATGTAAATGGTTGCAGCTAGCATACTAATCCAAATAAGTGACAAAATAACGCAAACATTTTCCTATTTACATGTTGTGATTTGTATAATAATATTTGTATAATCACAACATGTAAATAGGAAAATGTTTGCGTTATTTTGTCACTTATTTGGATTAGTATGCTAGCTGCAACCATTTACATCCAGTCTTTGTGCTAAGCTAGGCTAGCGGTGGGTGCGTCAAACAGACTTATAGCACGCACGGAGATGAAAAAGGTATGTATGGACTTATCTAACTCTGGGGGATAAGGTGAATAGGCTAAAGTCCCAAAAAGTCGGAGTGTTCCTTTAATTTCATGGGATTATAACTCTAAATCTGAACACTGACAGACAGACAGACATAGAGAAGCAAAAAACGCTTCTTAAGTTCTTAAAGGCATAGTACATTTACTCTTCCTCATGATGTTTCAAAGATGTATGCTTTATTTCTTCTTCAATGGAACAACAAAGATGATGTTTAGCTGAATGAACAGGCTGCTGTTTTCCTTACAAATATAAGTGAATGAGGATCTATATACGGTCATGATCAGAAAATGTGATGGTCAAAAATATTATTATAAAAAGTGGTCCATATTATTTGTGTGCTAAATTTCAAGTCTTCTGAAGAAATACAATATAATATACAAGCAAATACATAATTTGAATAGCCAGAAGGAAAGACTTGAATTATGCCTTAAATTTCAATGCCTTAAACGTTATCATATGATATCTAAGTAACTGGAAATATAGTACACAAGTCATATGGGCCACTTTTATGGGATGGCTTTTTTCCTCTCTTTGGAGCTTGACTGTAAAAGTCAACTTGACAACTTGGAGCTTGACATCCACTTTTGCTGCATGGAAAACAGCAGCTAAGATGTTCTGCTAAATATCTACTTTTGCATTCCACAGAAGAAGAGTGAAAAAACACACAAATACACACAGAGGATATGGGACAACATTAGTTTGAATCTTGGTATATTTTATTTTATAAAGTATATAAATCTATTTTATTTTATATTTGTTTTTTAACTATTCCTTTTCAACACACAGTTGTTCTCAACCTGTTTGACTCCAAGGCTTCCACTGTCCAAGACCAAATATGATGGCACTCGATTTAGGATATTTCTGCTGCAATGACAAAGCTGCTTGTTTTAAAACTTTTTTATTTACAGAAACAAGGAGTGGCAATATATATATATTTTTTTAAATCTAATAAAATAATTACATTTAAAAAAAATTATATAATAAAATAATTAAAATTAAAATAATTACCTTTCCATAATTCCAGACATTTTAAAAACAATGTATTTCAGGGTTCATACTTGTGACCAACGTATTTGCATTATATTTCTAGTCTTTTGTGATTACGGGATAAGGTTTTTAATTCCCCCCCCCCCCCCCCCCTATTTTTTTAGGTCTGGAAACTTTTTTTTTTATCCCTCCAAATACAGTATCTAGGTTTTCCAAGACAGAAGGAACAAATTAAAATAAGAAATACGTCTTGACTTTTAGATGTTTAATTTTTTTTTTTAAAGCTTGACTTGTCTTATTTTAAACAATTTACAATAAAACTATACAAAAGGTTGTGATTCTTCCTCACCTCCTTATTGGCGAGTTCTCCTGGGGTAGGCCAGTTTGTGATGTCACTGAAGTCACTTGACTGCAAATAGGAACGAAGGAAAGAGATTAAAAAAAAGAAGAAAAAAAAAGAAGTTACATCTGAGTTGGAATTATTCATGAAGTTCCCATCCTTCATCATAATCCATTACAACAAACTCCACTTCCTGTGCAAGGACATAAGCGCAAAATGCACATAACAAAAAAACTTTTGATTTGATTTGAACAAACATAAAAACAACATTATTCCCTAATGATTCTCATTAGAAAAGCGACGTGCAGATGCATGCTATATCAACGTCCAGTTTGAATGATTTATGAACAGCAGCTGCCCCACTTCACTGACATCTATGTCTCAAATACTCTTTACGTTGAGTTTCCAACTTACACATCAACTTTTTCCACTATTTAACATACAAAATATTATTCAGACGCTGTGGGGGAAGTGTGGGTGTTTCTTTTCAGAGATCATTTCACTTTCTATTACCGGAGGAACGTCAATCATTCCTCAAGCCGCGAAGCAACCCAGAATTCCAAGCGGCGTATCCGATTCCACTATCGTCCTGAAATGGGTCCTGGGTGTCTCAGATGCTAAAGCTAGACGGTACAAACTAAATTTGCGAGGGAGTGCCTTGGAGTTAAATGGTGTAACCAACGTGAACTAACAAGGCATAAACAAAACTTGTCACATTCCACTCAAAAAACTGTAATGCATGATGGAACACCAAATAACATGCTAGGGTTCATGAACGTACAAGGGAGCCTGTCAAGTGTTGTATGTGTTTGTAAGTGGAGACAAACTAACATGCCTTGGAGTCAGCCATGGGGACAACTCTACTGCCCCAGTTAGGACTGAATTTGAGCCCTCTATGTGCTCTCCCTGGAATGCCCCACTGAGGTAAAAGTCAAAAACTCATGTGCTCAAAACTGTTGACTATCGCCCACAAAAAAACAAAGAACAGAGCGAACAAATATCCACTTAAATACAAACACAAGCCGAGCTGCTCTATGACTGGCTGCTGCTGACCCCTGATCCAGGACATTGAAGCAAGACTCTCTTACACAAATAGACTGGAGGAAAAGACTCCAGATTTACACAAATAGACAGACAAAAAAAGACATTATCTATCCAAATAGATTAATGTACTATCTATATGTGATAGCTGGTATTAAAGGTCATTAATTTGTCTTCATTAAACAGATAAACGCATGTCACATGGCCTCAGTTGGCAAATCACTTACATAAGAGCGCCTTACCTTACTGGTCTTCCTGGATCTAGGTTTGCTGGCACGGACAACTTTGGCAGGACTCTGGGGTTCTGTGGACAAACGACAAAAACAGGAGATTGCGATTTGATTGTTTGATGTAGTTCATTAGAGGACTTTTATTAAAATAAACTTTTATTTCACATTGTTGCTGTTATTAATATTTTTGTTATCATTACTACTACCATAATTGCCATGTTAGAAAACTGCAAAGTTAATAACAACTCTAAATAAATGCAGAACACATCAGTCGACAACTTTGAGGCTATGGCGTCTGTCATAAATGCTTAAATGCTCAAACCACACTGTTACAAATTACTCTATTTAATCCAGCTTTCAAAGGCAGTTAGGACGCTTTCATTGAATTTAACTGACATTGTATGAGCAGTAACACCTTAGCCACTTATAAATAGTTAGCATTTTTCCAACTTGAGTTTATCGATCATTCATTCAATAACTGAAGACAATCACCCTTACTGTACACATCTCTACAGCAGAAGAACTCAAGATTTTTGGTCGATATGGAGCTAGTTTCGTCTATGCCAGAGGAAACGTGCAGTATGAGCTTAACCTTCTAAGTTTAACTTACCGGTAAGTGATAATGAATCTTTGAGCATTTACAGATTAAACCAACTCCTACACATATTATGCATTATTATCTGTACGGTAACCACCTGTTAAAATGACTTGCGCACTGTCACAGCAATGCCTTTTAACGCCTTACTTCATGAAATAACTTGTCTTTCCAGGCATTTTACAAACTGCATTATTTCAAAACAGCTGCTGAATACATGAGCACAGAGTCTAGATTATCTATAAAACAGCTCCAGGATACAAAAACGATATAACTTGAGTTAATTAATAGCTCAAAGTATGATCATAATTACTGCATTTCTTTATTAAAGTGACTCATGAATGAACACTGAATTTTGGTCCTCTGGATATCACAGATCTGCACTAAAAATCTACCAATGTCTCTCTCTGTGTGTCCAGTGTGGCAGGTCAATGCGGACTAAGTGCTGTGGTCAATTATCTGGGAACAGCTTCACTTAGATTGTAAAGCCACACGCCAGCACCTGCACAGCAAGGTCACACATCCACACACATAAAACATTAACTTCCTCTGTGAGACGGAGCAGCAAACAACATTTCTATGAGGGCCAGTGAAAGTGGAGTCATCCGTGGTATTCAAATCCCCCCAACACAATGACATGGCCCCATATAGGTATTTGTGCCACTGTTCAACCAACAAAGCGTATGGCCTTTTCCTGACAAACTGCCCCCCGCCAACCCCACCAAAATAACAGATCTACAGAGACACGTAAGCAGATAAACAGCTGCTTTTTAAAATAACTAAAGGAATAGGAGTGCTAAAGCATTAATATTGGTGTAATCTAGCCTAACCACTGGATTCTTAAAAGACAAGAACATTATCATGAAGGAGGTTAGCACAATGTATGTGACAACCGTCTGTTTGCATTTTAATGAACGTCTATCCATTCATTGCAACATCAGGGGATTTACATTTGCACAGGAGGAGTTTCAAATTCTTTGTAGTTGTGGAGGAACAACCATAAACTATCTAAGTGTAGCATTCTGGCCTTAAATGATCATCAAACCAAAACCTTTAGAAATACAGCAAGATTCAAAGCTTTTTCCTGGGGGAGAAACAAACGCTACTTTATTCAAAACCGGTTTACATTTCTTTACTTTCTTCTTCTTTTTTTTGAGCTGTTGGGATTAAACAGGCAATAGAAAAGGACGCCCATTTCTGGGAGTGTCCGGGGTCCTTTATCATTACTGAAAGGATGGCCTGTATGTATGATAAGGCACTGGGCGCTTGCCAACAGTGTGGGGTGTGACCATACACACTGACTTACTGATACCGTCCCGTCGACACCTTTCTCTCAGTTAGTGCCGCCCGAGGCTGAATAACTTATTTTGATGCAAACGATCATTTAAATCACTAAAATGTCAAGTCAGAAACATCAAGAAAAGCCAGTCGGACTGCTAATCAAATCATAAGCTGCCACTGAATAAAAGCTGAGCAAAAGTTAAGTTGTAACTTGGGTCATTGACATAAAAATACGATAAAGAAAGTGACATTTTCATCTTTTCAATCTATTTTAAAACACATTCAAGCTGTATTCTTTGTATGTGCTTCAACAACCTGAACCAGTCATATAAAACATCAATTTATCTGATTTTTTTTATTTTTATTAAATTAATAGATAAAATAAAATAGTGTCATTAGCTCATGTACCGGTAGGTTTTCCTGACAGCTCAAAGGCTCGGCTTATCCAACATTTGGAAAGCAAATTCTATACACTACCATTCAAAAGTCAGGGGTCTTGTCATATATATATATATATATATATATATATTTATACTTTATTTTTTATCAAATAAATGCAGCTTAATGATCTTAATTCTTTCCCCACCAGCATTTTTTTATATATATATATATATATATATATATATATAAAAGTGCCAGGTACCGGCAGCATTTTTTATCATTTTCACAAAATTTTCATGGACCTCAGAATACTTTGTTGTATGAATATCGGAATATGCAATATATCAAAAGAAAGAACAGTGCCTCTGCTTTAAAAAAAAAAAAAAAAAAAACATTTTATTCTAGCTTAATGCATTTTTTTATCAAGAATGTGGGTAAATTTCATTTTTTTTTAAAAACATTGAACAAAAAGCTGAGAAAAATGTGCTTTTGTCAAAGGTTACATGCAGATCAGATTCAGAACGATGATCAAAACTACCGTAAGATGTAGTAGGTCGCATCCATTAACACCCCCAAAGCTTTCACAATCATATAGCTCATCCTGGGTCGACATTTCATTCCGTAATATTAGGCAGTTTTGATTTATATGCCGTTTAATGTTGATGGTCGCGTTATTTTATATAGCCTATGCATCTGCTTACATATGCTATCGCTTGTTTTTTGCTTCTTCTACACGTCTTTTGATCAGGAGATTCTGTACTCTTTCAGAAGATGTGTCATAACATATAACAGTGAAAACACAAAAAAACGGAAATTTCCGTCAATGGCGGGAAAGAGTAGTCTCATAAATGACGGAATTTTCTATCAGGTGGGGAAAGTGTTAAGAGGCACCTTTCATCTTAATGTCCCCTAACTTTTAAAAAGGTAGTGTACATAATATAAATATTGCATATCCTAAAAGTGGAACGAGTTTTAAAATGTGACATTCACATTAAGAGGTTTCTAACCTTAAAGGGTTAGTTCACCCAAAAGTTAAAATTCTGTCAGTAATTACTCACCCATATGTTGTTCCAACCCCGTAAGACTTTCGTTCATCTTCGGAACACAAATTAAGATATTTTTGATGAAATCTGAGAGCTGGATCACTCCTCCATAGGCTTCTTAAGGGATCGAAACTGACCGGCCCAAAAGTTATGAAAGACATCGTTAAAATAGTCCGAGTGACTACAGTGACTCAATCTTATGTTTATCAAGCGACGAGAATACTTTTTGTGCGCAAAAAACAAACAAAAAGAACGACTTTATTCAACTACTCTGTAAGGCCGTGATATTTCACGTAGTGAAACTACGCAAAGCTTCTAGGTTGCACGTCACACGTAGGCTCACTATTGGCCGACGCTGGTCATGTGTGTGATGCGTGACGTACAACCTAGAAGCTTTGCGTAGTTTCACTACGTGAAATATCACGGCCTTACAGAGTAGTTGAATAAAGTCGTTCTTTTTGTTTGTTTTTTTGCGCACAAAAAGTATTCTCTGACTATTTTAACGATGTCTTTCATAACTTTTGGGCCGGCCAGTTTCGATCCCTTAAGAAGCCTATGGAGGAGTGATCCAGCTCTCAGATTTCATCAAAAATATCTTAATTTGTGTTCCGAAGATGAACGAAAGTCTTACAGGGTTGGAACAACATAAGGGTGAGTAATTACTGACATAATTTTCATTTTTGGGTGAACTAACCCTTTAAATATGACCGCATACAGGTATCACTGCTGTCAAAGTAGACAATGCTGCCTACAACAAAGATGCTGTCACAACAAAAACACTATGGTTGTTTGACAGGAGAGCGGTCTATTCTCAAATGTCAGCCAGGAAGTCATGTGAACAGAGTATAGACTATTAGGAGCAGTGGCATGGTTGTTAAAACACTGCTATCAGTCGATACATCATCTGACAGAATTCTGATCATTCAAGTGATGCACACATTCCAGATTTTCAACACGGATCCCTAAGAATCAACCTGAGAGCTTCTTCCATATCACGGTCCCATTCATAAATACTTGGAATTATGACATGTATCCCACAATGCAAAAAGCACAAAGACCTTTGGCTTAACAAGGTCAGTGAGATCTAACAGCTCTGTTCATTCATCAGAACAATGACATGTGCAATGCATATAGATTGACATAACTCACACAACAACAGACTGTAATGGTTCGGTCAAACCACAAAGGAGAAATGCTCATTTATGACATCTCCATTCAAAATGAACACAACTGTTTTTTCATAAGGAAAAACAGGAAATTGATCATGTAGTTCAGATGCCCAGTATTCAACTGAGGGGTTTCATCATTCAGAGACTGAAATTGAGGTATTGAATCACCATTCACAACGGATTTCCCATTAGGTTTGAAAACATAATCTCTATTTGACAAGATGCCCAATCACCCAATACAGTTTCAACCAATAGTTTTGGATGGCCAGAATCATTGACCGAAATAGTGGCGTTTAATTAGCGTTTTTCCAATGACGTAAAAGGTTAAAAAAGGTAAACATGTCAGCAAGTGTAGATACACTTCACCGTGACCAAAAATGATGCTAAAGAAGCAATGTGTAGAATTTGTAAGGATGAAATATCGAGAGGCGGCTCATCTTAGACTGGTTTAATTTATCCCCTCAGAACACAGCACCCAAAATAGCATAGCAAGTTCAGTTATCCAATTACCCTAATTCAATTACAGAAACTTTATTATCAGTTTTTGGCTAAATAAAAATGTTAATTTCGGTTTCTTTGAAAAAAAAAAAAAAATGCATTACTACTTCATGGTACTTTAGGTATCAGATGGGAACCCATCCAACCAAACTAATACTAGTCCAGCTGGTAGCGAACAATGCGGTCACATCTAATGTTACTCGGCTACATTTTGTGGGCAAAATCTAGTCATTTCAATAGGAAACCAAATGCGATCAGGAGTTTCGTGTGAAGGCAAAAAAGTTCCCTACACAGATTTCACTCGTTTTCAAGTTGCTCACGTGAATTTGAAGGGCTGGCCAACAGAGATATGGTTAGTTTGAAAGTGACTTCAGCATGATCTGTGCTTTATACGTCGCTACACTACTCACAATAGACAAATGACCTTTTTTGCCTCCAAAATTTCACTTACATTTTTGCAAAAGTGACTTCAAAACTATTTTTGGTAAGTAAACTGATGACCTAAAGAATCTTGTGATGCACAATCTGAAAGTTGTTTTGATCAGACCCTGAAATGAGATCCTCAACCACAAGCTTGTGAACTGCTCTTCTGGTTTGCGATTTTCTTATTACTTTAAGTGACTTTTAGTTATTTAAACCATGTTATTTAAAAGCAAAGTGCATTCTTTTTCTGCAATCAAATTTCGGTTTTCAAACAGGTAGCCGCCAAAATCTACACCACTGTTTAAGCCAATCTACTTTAAAATTCAGTTTTAGGGAGTGGTCTAATATTACATATTACTTTAAAACTACACTATACTGTCAGTCATGTCTACTCAACAGGTGAGCTGCACACTACCGCAAACACTATGAAGATCCAAGAACCATAACACAATGCGTTTAGCAGCTGTATGAGTGGGGTTGAAACCAGTGTACAGCAGTGAGGCTGTAAAGGCCTCTCATGAACTCCTGCTGGAGTTGCAGTGCTCAGCACTACACGTGCTCCCGTGCAACTCGATCAGATCAGATGAGATGAGATGAGATGGGGTGGGGTGGCGAGGGGGGTTGAATCTGCCCACATCAGCAAGTCTGTCCAAATACACCCAAATGATCAAGGCTCACAGGAGTCTGTCGGCAGAATGATGTGGGAACGGGCATTTTGATGGGCGTTTATTCCCACTACCACCATATTTGGTCACATCACAAATGGCAAAAACGAGCTCCGGGCTTCCTGACAGCAACACGCAGTGCGTTAAACAAACTCAAACAATTTGAACTGAAGCGAAATCTATTAAGATAACCTTCATAGATAAACAGGAGTAAAGCAATATGGTCAGGGTGTGCGTTTTGTATTCTCTAACTTAAACAACAGCAGTGTTTTTAATCAGGCGAGCCAGGACAGCACAGCATGTTAGCCATACCACAAACGCTCAAACCCTAAAAGCATAAAACACCCTAGTGACAGTCACATCCACGTGAAAACCATTTAAAATGTGTGGATAAAGCAGAGCATTTTGATCTCCATTGCTTCACACCGCTTTAGGGGATTAAACGAGCTGTGGGTTTAGCGCAATGCTAAATAGTGACGTCAGTCAGATTCGTGAATGAATCGGTCTTTAGGGTCGGATCTTTTCAATGCATCGGTTGAAGAGAACAACGCGATCTCTAAAAGATTTGTTTACGACTCGGAATGTTACAAATACAACGTACTGGAAATATGTTTACAACTTTACCTCAAGTCATAACAGTTTTATGAACAAGCATACTTGGTCTCAATAAACAGTGTTTTATTCGATTATAATGAGCAAACGCTAAATAATTAAACTGATTAATAATGCTCATTTTGAGTTCCAAATGCGTTAAATAATAATGAATAAACTTACAATAAACTCTGTTATTGATAAAAGTACATTAGACAGCAATACGTGCACACGTAAGTCTTTATTAAAAAGAATTTAGGGGATAATGTCACGCCAGGTTGGCTGGAATTACGTCATAATTTACAAACCTGTCTGAATCAGTCTTAATTGTTCGAAAGAACCGATTCGCTGAAAAGAGTCGGACGTCCCATCACTGGTGCTAATGCTAACAGGCCACACCCCCGTCTCTGATTGGCTCATTTCTCTGACCATGTATGAAAAACACACTTTACGGATATGGGCACAAAGTTTATGAATTGTAATTAAATGAAAGAATAGCCGACGTTATGATATGTTTCAAAGCACAGGTGCACGAGAATGCAAAAAAGGTTATAAAAGTGAACTGAAAGGAGTTTAATGGCCGCTCCTGTTTGCAGTAGCACATGCGAGCTAACAGAGCACATGTGTGCATGAGAATAAATGCTGTTGGGAGGCATTAATGTGTGTTGCGGGCATAAACTCTCTAACGTTACCTGTTTGTGGCGAGCTGTTGGTGGGATTATTAGGAGGGCATGCGTTCCTCTTCATCCATGGGTTCACTGCCGGCGGAGGAGCCTCGATCACTTTCTTCTTGTCAGTTTCTGCTTTGTGGCATGATGCATTCTGCTCATTCTCCTTGTCGTTCGTGCTAGTGTCCGTGCTTAACCCATCCGCTTTGCTTTCCATGTCCCCCTGTTTTTGATGTTTAGAGTCGACCTGAGGAGGATCCTGCTGCCCCTCCTCGTGGCTCACTCGATCAGTTTTCTTGGGTCGATCCGCGTCCGACTTGTTTTGGTTCCCTTCGCCCAAACAACTGACTGTCACCTCCAAGTCACTCGCAACTTCAGTGGTCATGGTTCAAAAGCGCAAACGCCCACGCGTTGTTATTTTGTCACTATCCCGCAGTATTTGTTTTCCAGAGCAAATGAAGAGAAAGACTCGGTGAAAGCTGTTGCAGCTAGAGCACAAGTTGACAGCCAGCAGCTTGAAACACGGAGGAAAGCTGCATCGGACTTTTTCGTGTTTTTAAATGTCAAAATGCTCGATCCCTTAAAGAAGCCATGTTCTTCGACCACACTAACTGATTATAGTAAGCCAAAAGAAGGAAATAAAAACTTTGCAAATGTTTTCAACCCACTTCACGATTTGGCTGATCGGCAACTCACCTAAATAAAAGGAAATACTACGAACGGCCACGAGTCATTGGACGAGTGTGTGTGTGTGTGTGTGTGTGTGTCACCTCTCTGTCGCCCCTCGCGGCCACACAGCGGTACTGCAGGACAGTAGAACGTGGTTAATTAGAGACAGTGTTGCCATGTCCACTTTTTTTTTTAACAAGTCTTGTTTTATTGCTTGCCAACAGGGACAGTCGCCGGTTGCATTTATTTATTTGTTTGTTTGACTGCTTTTTCCAGAATATGTGGACTTGGCAAAGTATGACTGACCATTAAGAGCAGTTGTCAAATATCTGTTTGTTTGTTTGACTGTTTGCTTGTTTTGAGAAAAGTTGTATTTTCAATGTTGGGCTATGCAAACTAAACGAACTGCAAAGCAAAAAAATAAAAAAGATAAAAAAGATAAAAAAAGACTGTATGTCATTTTCATTTGCATATAAAAAATCACGAGTAAGGTCCATGTTTATTATTATAAATCCCTGTAGTTTGTTTTCCCTTTCACTTAGTCTCAATTGTTCCCCAATTATTGTAAATTGTGCACACTATTTTGCTTTTCCATAGGTGGAAACACATTTTAAGAAATCGAGATGTCTCCTTTGATGGTCAGTTGTATATAACAGTTACAAGATGCAATTTGTCTTGTGTACGTGTTATGCAAATTCCTTGTAAAATACATCATATCAATAGATTAAAGATTTTTATTTATTTATTTATTTTTGCAGTTCTCGTAAAGAGGTTTTATGCTTATTTGGAGCTTGTTTTGGCAGGTTGCTGGTTTTTAAAGCACGATTTGGCAACACTAATCAGAGGCAGTCTGACGTGGCCTTCCCCCACAGACTGTTAAAAAACACATAAAACGTGACATCGGATAGATTTCATCAACTGGTTGAGAGCCTTTGCCAAATTAGAAATATGAACACGCTAACAGAACGTTATAGAAAGCACTGAATTGAATTTGGTTGAGCATCACACCTAGGGCACATTAACAAGGCCTAGCTTACTGTTTGTCTATACGAAGTTGTGCTATTAATGGAAGACCGAAGTAACAATTATTTTAATTAATTATTTAAATCTCGTTTCCGACTCAACATTGGACAAAGAACAAAGTGGTTAGAATAAGATTTCTTCCTTACATTCGTCAAAGAAAAGCAATTCAGAGATAATATTGTCTAGAACACCTTCAAATGACTGATATGCATGAAATGTTGTAGGTTTTCTCTGCAATTAGTCTAAAATGTTCTGGTGAAGTGTTGAATTGAATGAACATACGACTGTTAATGCACTGCTTTTCAAATAAATAAGGTGGCATATGAAAGATTATCTTATATAAAAAAAAAACATGAAACCACCAATACATTACTACAATCAATTTAAACAAGCAGTATATTAATATCTATGATATAATATATATGAGATAAATGGATATATAAAAAACAATCAGTTCAAAGATGTTCAGTGTTTTAATCATGAAAGTTCACATTAAATTAGTTACTCAGATTCTTCTTTTGCATATGTTAAAGACAAGTGATTATGTACCATGTAGTTCCAGAGCCCTTTAGTCTGCTCCTCATGACATTTCACATTGAAATGAAAAGAATTAGCTGTGAAGGGACTTGTGTATTTTTCCACCCCCAAATGTGCTGCTGGGTAATAATACCACAAGATGCTATGACATCGGTTCCAATCTCATACTTGTGAGACACATAGCAAACCCAAACATTACAGAGACAAAAGCTTTGAAAAAGCATGCTAAATGTGTGGACAATTTGGATGAAAAAATGTAATGCAATAAGCATTATAAACCCAAAGTTTCTTCCTATCACCAACAATTAAATATCAGTAAAAAATGCACATCTTTAAAGGGACACTCCACCCATTTGCATTAAGTTAAGTTGTCTTACATACAAATTAAGTTAATTAAGTTGTCTTACATACAAATGCGCCCCAAAGTTATTTTCTGTCTTTTCTCGGTCAAGAGGGCACCAAATTTAAAATGTCTTTTACATTTCGACTACATATATAACCCACTTTCAATAAAGATTAATGTTGAAATGGGTGGAGTGACCCTTTAAATGTCAGGTTCAAATCCAGCACTTCCAGCAGCTTGTATGGGGAGATGAAAAGAAACCAGCACTTCCAGCAGCTTGTATGGGGAGATGAAAAGAAACCAGCACTTCCAGCAGCTTGTATGGGGAGATGAAAAGAAAGTTGCAGTCTAAAGATCAATTTAAAGCACAGCAACAACCTCTTGGTATTTCAAGATAATCCTAATCTGAGGTTGTAAATTTGTGGGTCAGATCCAGGATATAGAACAGACAGGAGGTATTGATGCCCTCTGCTGGCCAAAACGGTCTACTGATTGTAGCTGGCTTGAAACTTTAATTCTAGAACCAACCAGGGGCCGTACCATAATAGCATTTAAACAAACTCAGGGTTACACGATTAGTTTTGAATTGACAAAACTAAACCAATCCAATCAGGCTTTGTTGGTACCATGACACTGTTCATCAACTTTCTCTGTCAACTCTCTGTCAAGGCTTTGATCCAGAGTTTAGGTGTGACATCAGTAACCAACAGCCAATCACATGCTGTGGAACAGTAAAACTGCGATTCACTTTTCTCTTCTGCAGTAAATATTAAGAATTTAAACAAATTTACACAGCAAGAAGAAAAGAGCTGTCTATGAAAGAGAAAAACTAAAACTTATATCACTGCAAGTAAAAGTTGTGAAGTTATATAGTTGATATAGGTATAGAGAGATTTGAACATGTAAATTCACATGTAGTCATTTTCTAGCTTTATCTATGATTCTTAAGCTTATTTATATGACCTTTATATGTTTATATTCATTTAAACTAAGTTCATAATAATTGATAAACTAAAATTGTACATGTGTAATGGACTATGGGTAAAATAATTAAATAAATATCTAAATCATACAAAATTATTTAAGCATTGCTAAAAGCTAGATGATTTGTCTTTACAAATGTAGTGACATTTAAATTGGAGTAGAAACAGGGGGAGTGACTTTATTGAATCAGACATGTGTCACTTTGCTCACAGCCGATTGGTCCAATTTCGGTTTGAGATCTCTTACCTGGAACATAACCTGCCCCGGAGCAGATTAGCTGTGGAGCACAAATTCCACTGCTACTATTCCACAGCTACAAATTCCACAGGTTACTATGGCGATGAACACCGCTAAAAGCCAAACCACTTACATGGTGCCTAAAATTCAGGGTTGGCACAAACTAAACTGAAACATATCTGGCTAGCCAACTAAACCGGCTTCATGGCATAGGCCCCAGGTCACTCAGCTAACTGAAACCATGATAATCTCCCACACAAACATTTCATTTAAAAGAAGACAGAAAACTTAAAATGTAATCATTTATTCCCCAAATCATGGAAAAATACATTTAACAATGCATAAAAATAAAATAAAATCTGTAGTTTTTTTCAGAGATCATTAAGTCTCTGTTGGTTGGTTGGTTGGTGGTCAGCGGTAACTGATTTCTAGTGTATTGTGGTAAGGGTTTGGATGGCTACTCCTCCAGCAAGATGTCCACCTCCTCCATGGGCACTCTCAGACGTAACTCCTTCTCAGTCATAAGATCTAAAATCTCTTGCACACGTTCAGGAAACAGCTGCACGGCGTCCATGTACAAGCCCTGTAGACACACACACACACACACACACACATGCACTTAAACTGTAACATACACATTGAGAGGCTGAAAATACATGTGTTAAGTGTGGAGACAACTTAACACATAAGTGTGTTAAGTGTGGAGACAACTTAACACACACTTAAGTAACGCTTCTCATTACCTGTGTGTGAGTCTAGTGAACCTTACCTTTACCCAGGGCACTTCCTGTAGAGCCTTGTAGAAGATTCCACTGCCACTCTCTGCAGTCCCATCACATACCTGTAGAAAATACACAGGGCATCAGCTGTTTATTGCTGGGTATTTCGAAACATTTCTAAATTGTAGCGCGTTTACAACTTTACCATGAAGTTCAGATACATTCTCCACAGCAGAGGACAATGGGCCCCATGTTCTGTTGCTGTAGCAGTTTCAAACAGACAGCGGATACGGTTGCTAAGACCAATCACTGACTGGCCCGGGAGAGCTTCTCCAGGATGACGAGACCTTTGGATAAAAAAAGAAAACAGTTTGTGCTACTAAACCAGGGGCCAGTGGTATAATCTTAGCCACTATGTTAAGACTGTTTCTTAAGAGCTAGTTTGACCAACAAGCATTTTGTCAAGGGTAATCAGTCTTACTTTTTCAATTTGAAGTAGACCAAACTACCTTTTTTAAGTAACTGATTTAAAAAAGTTAGGACCAGGCTTGAAGAAAAAAAAACTTTTAAAACTAGTCTAAGCGGTTTATACAACTGGCCACAGATTGTTATTAATCAGGTAGCTGGCTATAATCAAGCACAGTCTAACTAACTTGAACTAATTGGCTCTGCAAGAATCTCTACCAACTGCTCCTCCACCATAGCGGTAGGGTGACCTGAATGAGATCACTGACTGTAGGAAAAAATATAAAAAAGGCTGCTACAGGCCCTTGCTGCAACACTCAGAATGCAACACACTTGTGTCACATTTTGAAATCCATTTCGACACATTAGCTACGATGTGTTAAATTGGGCAGTGCCAGAAGTGTTTGTGTTCACGTACTAACAATGCAACACAACACCAAACAAAATCTAAACCCAAACAAAATATGAAACAAAAAACAAAATGACAAGAAAACAAAAATGAAAAGCTCATGAGAACTCATTTTTTTCTCACCTCTGCGAGTCCAGAAGCTGTTTGAGTCGTCGTTCTGCAGTGATGGCGAATAGATAAGGCACAACACTGTCAGTTTTCTTTGCCACACTGTGGAAAAACCTTCGGGCACGGCCTGCGCTGTGATAGCGGTTCTCTGTTTGCAGGTAGAGATGCCATAACAAGGCGCTGGAGGGCAGTAAGGAGATGGCATCTGTAAGTGCCAGTCTTAGCCGGGAAAGAGGAAACACATTGGTGTTGGTGTGGTGACGTAGCAGTGCTACACGCTGGACAGCAACAGACTCCCAGTCTGCAAAGACCTTGCATCTCCTCAGAGAATCATCTGTCACTTCTGAATTCAAGTTGGTGGGAATCAGTTTTTGGATGGCATGATTGTATACGGCATCAGCTGCATCAATCCCCATTGTCAGGTACTGAAAAAGCCCAAAGCATCCAACCAGGCTGGATGTCCTGCAGAGTTTCTTTGGAGCTCCAGCATCGCTGTCTGTGCTCTGCTCAGGTAAAAAGCTCAACAGGGCCTGCTCATAGGCCTTCCTGGCCTTCAATATGGCCACTGGGTTGATCTGGCCAGAGAAAGGAGTGTAAGCAGCACCCTCGGCTAATTTAGTGAGAATGTAGACAGCTTTGGAGGAAGTGGAGGCTGCCCCACCACTTAAGGCCTGCTCTACCTCTAACTGGGCATAGAGAAAGCAGAGGTTGCAGAGAACAGGGTCATTAAGACCTCTAGATACACCCATACCCAAGGCAGTGTCAAATACGTTGCGCGCCTCTTCCAGGTTACCCAGAAGCCACTCTAGATAGGCATACTCTCTCCAAAGTGCCAGACTTCCCCTGTTATCGGGCTCTTTTAGGAGCCGTTTCGCTAGTCGTTTACTACGCTTTCCCTGAGACTTCAGTTGCCTTTTATTTCCACTGCGTAAACATCTCAGCACCTACAACAGAAAAGCAATGAAGACGGTTACAGAATTATGCAAACATGGAATTAAAGTAGTACAAATTAAGGTGAATTTCACAATAATTGTTAAAAAATGTCAGAGCTGTAAAATTACTATTAATATATTTATATTAGGGCTGTCAAAGTTAATGTGTTAACGCCTGTGATAATTTTTTTTTTTCAGTTTAATGTGTTACAAATATTTAACGCAGCATTAGTTTTTATGATCACACTATCATTCATCCAAGTGCTATTAAACCATTCAAACATGATACAATGCAAAAATCTGTACTGGCTTGCTGTCTGTGAAGCGGTTCTCTGTGAACAAACACCTGAAATGCACGTACAAAATGGAGCTTCAGACAGAGCGCCAGTGCCGGATCGAGTTCTCTTTCGTGCTTGAACAGACAAAAACACAAAATTATGTCAAAATTCCCATTTTGTCGTGTATCCTCGTAAGCACAGTCTCAAATTAGATAAAAAGTGTTAAATGAATGTAAAGAGTTGTGAGAAAATGGAATGCGTGTCAGATGCACATCATCTAGGGTTGGGTATCATTTGAGTTTCAACGATTCTGATTCCGCTTATCGATTTCTAATTTTGATTCCAATAAGGTAAAAAACTAAAACTTAGATCTTAGAAGTCTTATTGCAAAACATTTCATTGTAGCTGAATACCATGAACAAAAATCAACAGGCTAAAGAATACTAACACACAGAACTTTGGTTTGTCAGTCAGGAATAGCGAGAGAACTTCCTGTCTTTTGTAGTTTGATTAATGTTATTATAGAGACTACAGCAGGAATATTTTGCTGCTGTCACTTTAAGAGCTGCACGGATCCAATATACTGTTACACATGCATTCTCTTTGTCAACTGTTTAGGTTCACTTAAGAAATAACCATCAGTGTTTGAGGATATTTTGACATATTTTTGTGTGTATTTGTCAGTTAAAGTGCAAAAAGACGTGGAAGAGAACACGTTTCAGTATCGCACAGTATACAGTATGAGAGGCGGCTTTCTGTGCGCTCGTTTTGGATGGGTGCGAAGCACAGAAAACGCCTCCTTGTGCTTGAATGGTTTAAAATCACATTAAAATCACTTTCTAAGCATGCGCTTTGGATCTGGGTGCAGCACAGAAAACAGCATGGGGGTCTTCTTGCGCTTGAATGGTTTAAAGTCGTATTAAAATGTACACAAAGGAATCGATAAGAGGAATCAAAATGCGCACGCCGCACATCTTATCGAATCCCCGGTTTTGGGAATTTTGGAACCGGTTCTCAATAACCAACCCTATCTGCGTCAGGCCTTTAAGTGAAAGCAGCCTAATAAACCTGTAACTTTTTTGTGCATTTTAGCAGGTCAGGTAAAAATATGAACAGGACTGACTGGGCCCGTAAAAAAAAAAAAACCTTAGCATTGATCCCTGATATATTAAAGGCACAGCTAAATATGACATTTATTGGCACAATGGGTTTATCTAAAGATTTTTTTAAGTTCACTTAAATTAAAAGTATATATAATTACATTTTTAAAGCCTATTAAATGTTAAAATTGTTTGCTTTCAATTATACTGTATTAATTAAAGCCATTTATTGCCATTCAACATTAGAGACATCAGTGATTCTGGCATTTATTCACAGTGCTTCGTAAAAAGATGCCATTAAACAAATATTTAAAATATACTGTCTTTATGTTGTTTCTACATTATTTTGGAGATTCAATGTTAAACTATTACAAAATATTAAAAACTTTAATGTTCGGTGTGATTAGTCGCGATTAATTACAGAAAAATGTGCAATTTTTTTTTTGTCGATTGACAGCACTAATTTATATTCATATAATTCAAAGGAATCACATGATTATGATAACATATATATTATAGTTTTTTTAATTGTCATGATTATTTTTTAATTATGATAAAAATGTAATTATTATTATGATAATAATTATGAAAATAATGTTAAAATGTATTGTTTTTTTATTGATTTTGCATGTATTATGACTGTCAATTCTTTCTGAGATTGTATAATGAGAAATATCTATGAATGCAGAAATTATGGTTTATCATTTTTTTCTTTCTCACACACAGACCTTGAGTTTCTCATACTGCAGCCAGCAGAGAGTAATAGCAGCTTGATCCTGTGCAGAAACGAGCGGTAGAGTTTGCTGTAGAACGTTCTGGAGAAACTCCTCCCCTGCCTTACACAGCCCAGCCTGCCTCCTGCAGTCACTCAGAAATGTCATGTGACCCACTGCACAGATCCCAGCCATTGGGAGGTCATAAGAGGTCAGAGGTCGCTCCTGGTCTGGGCCCTCTTCAAGGAAGGTGAGATCATCCAGTAGAATGTTTGAGGAAGAGGTTGTAGAAAACCTTCCTGAAGGTCCAGGCAGACCTAGGAACTGCAGGAATGACAGGATCACCTGCAGCTGGAGATCTGGTCTGTCCACACGAATCACAGATGGGCCGATATCATCAAACAATACCTGCATGGACAGAGAGAGATTTATGCACAATTAGAACATTCATAACATCTTGCAAATATTTTGGCTAATATTGACTGCATTAATCAATAAAAATAGTGTTGTTGAGCATATAAAATCCATTTTGCAGAAATTTCCGTCAACAAAAATGCAAAAACATCTGCAGATTTCATTTGGGCCAACTCATCAGATTGTCAACAAAAGTCGCACCTGCCTGTCGGGGTCCTCGCAGTCCTCTTCTGATTGGCCCTTGGTTTTATCTGGTCTCCATGGCAACCAGTTGTTTGCCTCACGGGACGTCTCTACATCTAACCAGATCTTCCATTTAGGCCTGGTCTTGTCTTTGATCTCTGACTCCTCCTGCTCTTCTTCATCTTCATCATCTGCAGGCCATAGAGTTCACTGTAATGTTAGCTCTCAGAATCGATAAAAACACTTTGATTTGGGGGGGATCATAGAAGTCTTTGATGTCTTGCAATTGTGCATCAGTTCTGAAAAAAAAACCTTGTGTTGACAACTCCTTTTGTTTTTATCTTTATCCCATGATGTGACAAGCATTCGCTATTACCCATGACCGTATAGTCAGAAATACTAAACTTAAAGCTGCTGTCCGTAACTTTTTTAAGTTAAAAATAATCCAAAATAATTCTATTAAAAAAAACATATTCTGCCAGTGGTCAAAACTATGTGCTTGCCATAGCTAGATTCAAAACGGTTAGCTTGTAATAATGATTTTAATTCCAGTGGTACTGGTGGGTTTCCGCGGGAAATTCGAGCATGTCTTTGCGTCATTACGTCACACCCGTACACATAAAGAAGGAGTTTCGGCTAGCCGGCTATACTGCGCGTGACGAGATGTTTAGATGTATAGGCTTTTCTCGCAGCACTTTACATAATTAAACTTATGGCATCCAGAAAGATCCAAACAACAATCATCAGTGTCAACTGGAGATTCAGCAGTTATAAAACCCAAAAGACTTCGTACTTCGGATTTAAGGTGGCTAGAGAAAGAGAAAGAGAAAGAAACCGTCTCATGCGAACACAAGGATTTAAACATCGGCGGGGCTTTTGAAAAGTGCGTGAACTCCGTGTTTTTGAAGGGGTTCAAAACGGAAGAAGAGACGGCTTTTTTCTGCTGAACAAGTAAGACATTTCAATAGTTCAATCGTGTAACAGTACGTTTTCTCAATTCACACAGTTATGGAGTTTCCTTTGTTGTGCCTTTCTCGTTTTGCTATTATGGAGAATATGAATTCTGAACTACACAGGTAACCATAAAACACATTAAATTTAACATTAGTCACGCAATGCTGATGTTGTTAACATGAACAATTTGAGAACAAAGTAGGCTATAATTTGCACGGTTGCTGTAAATCGCGTTGATTAAATCTAACGAAGCTTATCATGTCGAATGCTTTTTCCCCCTTAGTTGGTCAGAACAAAAATGGATTTTACTTACTTGTTCAGAAGACATTTTCTTATGAAAATTCTTATGTTGGTCAAACTTTCAAAAAGTGAATCTGTGATTCTGTATGCCAGTATCCACACAGCGCGGTGACTGACAGCAGCACTCGCCTCAAAGCACTGTGTTCATCCGCGCTGTTTCATGCCGATTTACAACCCACGTAAAGATGATAATTCTGCGAATCACTGCAGTTACAGATTTCGAACAGAGAGATGGCGACAAAGAGGAAAAGCTACGGACTGCAGTTTTAAAAATGCCTCTGAAGTCTGAACCAAATGCTGAACCAGCAGCTACATTATATAGTATATTGGCAATTATCTACATCTGTGTGTGTGTGTTTGTGTACTGTGTTTGGTTAGAAGACCTGGCTCAGGTGGAATCACCCATCCTCCTCTCTCCTGCTGAAGCATCCAAGCATTCCATCCCCGAGCCCCCCGCTCCCCTATCCTGGGCTCTCCACTGTCCCAAAATGGCTCAAAAAATTCCACCTGGACACACACAGACATAGAAAAGATTATAAATATGTAGCTTATCTGGACAGCGTCAGGGTGAATCATGCATTCCAACCAAGCGGCAACCTCCCTGTCTCTCTCTTGAAACCAACACGGAAGGGAATTAAACTGCAATTCATCTACTGACCGCTTGAGGCAGGCTGCAAAAGTGAGTCAAATCTGCATCTCCCCCATGTTAAAATGCCCAACTTTCCAGCAGAAAAAAAAACATGTTTACAGCCTGGAGCAAAAAGTGGTTTTGGTCTATATAGCTTATTTTGCCCTTCATGACAACTGTGAGGGAGGTGAATTTTTTTACAACTCATCCGTTTAAATTATATTAAGCATGCATAATTAAGGGCGTGGCCACTTGAGTGACAGGTGGATTGCCGCTGCTAGCCGTTTGTCTGCTGCCTGTCTGTTAACGTCACTCTCAGCTAATTCCAGCTGCTGTACTTACCATCTCTGCCGTGTTTGTGCTTTTTTCGGGATTATTTCATACAATTTAATACACGCATTATACCTTCGCCCACGCCGGTGGATTCTGTCATTGTCGAGTATGGAGAGAACAACCAGCGCTGTATTTCCAGTTGTTTTCCTCGCATGCACTAACGTTAATGGATGTCTGACAATTTCGTTGCTAAAAACGTCTATAGATATAGAGACCACACTCGTTATGCAGTACTGTTGCTCTCACAGAACAGATATGCTTATTTAACTTTTTAGTGTTAAATAAAAAGTACCGTCAGATGAAATTCTGCAAGTGACAGTGCTTACTCTCCGTCCATGCAGTAGATGCACACCCTTGAATGAGCGCGGATTTCTAGTGCATTTAACGTTACTTGAACTTCTGAGGTAATATCTTTATTTTAACCCATTTGAGAAATTGAGAGGCGGCCAAAATCAGATTTTAAAATGGACTGAATAAACGAACTTTACGAACTTGACGTGCGATGCCATGCTGACTGACATGTATGCGCATGAATCACTGTCACACGCACAAGCTCAGAGCAATATTGTAAGTTACTGCATGATAATACATTTTTATAGCAGAATAATAATACATCACGATACACAGTCTCACTTTTAGTTACGTCTTTTAACTATTATAATATTTCGAAGGGCAACTATTGGCTTTACTTCTTCAATCAGCTGTCACTTTAGCGGGAGGCCAGTAGCATTAGCATCTCAGCTCCACCCACGTCCCGCCTCTTTGCCCATTTTATTTTATCCGGTAGTGACGAGAGGTGATGACGCACTGCCAAGATGGCGACGGCCGGCACCGCCCACTTTAGGCTTCAAAAATGCTCTTCAGAAACCTACAGGTGACGTCACGGACACTACGTCCATATTTCTTTTACAGTCTATGATTCCAACGCTGGGAAACCGTTCTAAACCCTGGCTTACCCCATTTAGGGTGATTTGGTATCTTGGTGTCTCTCTCTCAAGGTTCCTTTTGTCTGTGATTTTGCCATACTGTTGACCACTTTCTACCTCTTCTATAATTTCTTTTATCTCTCATTTTCTTTAATTGTTTGTTGCTTTATTGTGTTGTATATACATTTTAGTCCATGTAATTGTAGTCACCGGTATACGTAGTTTCCTTTATTAAATACATTATATTCATTTGATTGACTCTGTCTGTTGCTCATATTACGAAGTCCCTTAAATGTTCGATCAAGCTACGAGCTTTACAAATTTGTTGATACTTAAATAGTATTTTTATATAACAGGAAAGTTAATCCTCATGGCCAGAGGAATAGCTTCTCTTGAACGCCTATAATAACTTTCATGAGGTTTGATGAAGATCGGACGATCAGTTTTGCTGGACAAAGCAGATTATTCGATAATAAATTGACCCCATGAAAGGTTATCCTGACAATCGATCTATTTTAGACAATTGACATATTAATATGTAATTATAATTCGTTGTGATTGATTATTGATAGTACAATTGATCTATTTTTGCCTACCTGTATGGAGAACTGATTATAATTTGTTGTATTCAGTTGTCCATACAGATCATTGGCAACTTATTCCCTTTACGGGTAATTTTAATCTATGTATGCGATCCCTGGACATATTCATGATGACCAGTTATTAAAATTATATTCCTTTTTGAGCTAAAATCACTACAATATCCTAAATAACACAAGTAGAACAACAAATAAAAGCTAACAATCCATCAAATTTCCCACACATTTAGAACAATAGATTTTCATGATTTTTCCATTAATTCATGACTTTTTTAAAACTGTTTTTATAGAATGTATACCCTTTCTTTATGGAATATTTAGAGTTAAGCAGATATAGAAAATCTAAATTTGCTATAATAGGTGCCTGCTATAAACATGCCTTTTTCAGTCTTGGGTTTTAAAATACTGATATTTGCTGGTTTTCACTGAGCAATCCATTTGTAGAATCACTAGCAGTATGACTCTTTTTCACATAAAAGTGCCGTAAAGCATGTACTCAGCTGAATAGTGAAGTCTCATTTAATTTGCAGTTATCCCACTATCCCGGTTTCACAGACAATGCTTAAAGGGTTAGTTCACCCAAAAATGAAATGTGTCATTAATTACTCACCCTCATGTAGTTCCAAACCCGTAAGACCTTCGTTCATCTTCGGATATTAAAGGGTTAGTTCACCCAAAAATGAAAATTCTGTCAGTAATTACTCACCCTCATGTTGTTCCGACCCCGTAAGACTTTCGTTCATCTTCGGAACACAAATTAAAATATTTTTCTGAGTGTACCTAGTGTAACAGCACAGCGCTTCAGAAGCGCTGCACTGTTACAATACGTGAACTCACTCAGAGGCCCATACAGAAGAAAATGAATAGTTGAATAAAGTCGTTATTTTAGATTTTTCTGTCCACAAAAAGTATTCTCGTCGCTTGATGAATTTATGGTTGAGCCACTGTAGTCACTTGGACTATTTTAAACATTGTCTTTACTAACTTTCTGGGCCGGCAAGTTTCAATTACAGAGAAGCCTATGGAGGAGTGAGACAGCTTTCAGATTTAATCAAAAATATTTTAATTTGTGTTCCGAAGATGAACGAAAGTCTTACGGGTTTGGAACAACATGAGGGTGAGTAATTACTGACAGAATTTTCATTTTTGGGTGAACTAACCCTTTAAGATATTGCTGCCTATGGGTGGTTCAGAAATTTCATTAAAAATATCTTAATTTGTGTTCCAAAGATGAACGAAATTCTTATGAGTTTGGAATGAAATGAGGGTGTCCAATTAATTACATTATTCTCATTTTAGGGTGAATTAACCCTTTAAGCTAGTCCCAGACTAAAATGCAAGTTTGAGCTGTTTTAACTGAAAGAAACTTACACAGACATATCTTAAAATATGTCAGTGCCATTGTTTTGTCTCAAGATGCACACCAGTAAGGCTTAAAAAAAAATTTTGTTTGGTTCCGGTTTCCGACCGACCCTGTCAATTTATGTGCGACCCATATTTATTTTATGAGCTTGGGGAAGAAATAATAAAAATTAAATAAATACACAAATAAAAAACTTTGAGGCGAACTATAATTTACGTTTTTGTACAGCACGCGATGCAAGATGCCATCTGTTGTCCTCCAGCAAAACAAACGAGGCAGCTACATGGTCGTTCACACATCGTTCGTCAAACTGAACTATAATACATATAGGCTACAAGTTTTTTTTTGTTTTTTTTTTTGTCATTAAGGACACTTTTATTCATATACGCACACATACAAATGCATGCATTCATAGGCACGCACACACCACATGATGAGTTACAGAGTAACCTCCATCCGCCTCCCAAGTTTCATTAAAAATCATCCCAAATCCCAATACCCTCTTCTGCTGTCTACCACTTCTTTCGCCATGTATTTGTTCGTTTCTTTTATTATTTTATGCAATCCAAAACACTCTAACCTGCCGCGCTTCATATCTCCAGAGCCCGTCTAACTTGTCCGCGACAAATGGATTTTTGAAGGACAAGTAAAAGAGAATTTTACTTGCCCGAACGGACAAGTAACCTGATTAGAACATCAATAACAAACAAACAAATAACTAGGGAATCACTAAACCGAGAGAATGATTTTATTACATTTATTATAAGTTGCGATCGATTGTGGATAATAAATGTATTAGCCTGCTGACGGTGAGGTGCGCTGTTGACGCTCGCGCAGCCTCTCGAGGAGAAATCTACACACATGAGCGCAGCACACATACACACTCAGTTAACAACATACTGCCTATAAACAAATCTAAATGTGGAGTTTCTATATTTTAACATATGTGTTAAGCAGCCTCAATTATTTTTCCTGAATACCATATCACAATGTGACATTGATTTCCTACAACAGTTCAATAAACAGTTACAATTAAGTCACTTACATTTTAGATGAAATATTGGCTGTTTTTGTTCTGTTTCTGCAGCGAAAATAGTTCCAAACAAAAATCACAGCAGAACCACGGCGCATCTCACAGGAACACTCAACCTGTTTTCATTACTGAATGATTCAGCATTTTGACCGAATCGGTTGAGTCAAAGATTCAATGACCCATTCATTAACATCTGTCTCATTCTTGAATGAATCAACCGTTTAAACGAATCGTTTGAATTAATGAATCAATGACTCACTCATTAATACGGCCGCCTGCCGCCACCTATTGGCAGTTTAGTGTTATGTTTATACGTAGCCTAGTATACTTCTTTCCGATGTTTCTTATTTGTACATTTAAATCAATTTCATAACATTATTTTATGCAATTGTAATTTTTCAGTTTAAATTATTTAATTTGATCAGCCCTACTTAGGGTAACAGTATGCTTCATCTTTCATTTTAAATTCCTAAATTTGATCAATAAATTCAATTATTTAGAATAAGACGACACTATAGGGCATTTAATAAGATTGGGGGAGGGGATGCCCTTTAAAGGTGCAGATATTACAATATGCCAATTTAAATATCAAAGCTGATTGAACACTGATGAGAACATTGCTTCAGAATAAATAAATTAAAAATTTCTAAAAAATCCGGACAAGCAACTTTTTTACTCTGACAAGTGAATGACAGATTTACTTGTTCGGAGGGCAAGCATATGAAAAGGCTTAAGGTCGAGCCCTGAATAATTTCCTACCTATCCCTTGCTGCTGCCACTAAAAAAAAAAAAAAAAAAAAAAAAAAAAAAAAATCCCTACCGACCCATGACCTCAACTGCCAACAAACCGGAACCAAACTTTTTTTTTTTTTATGCCTAATGTATTTTTAAAGGCATGTTTTATAAAAGCTACTTAAATGTCCTAATTAAACTAAGGCCTAATACTGACTTAATCTAAGCTGTCTGTGAAGCCAGGCCTAAGTGCCAAAACTACCTCCTACTGCAGTACCAAACTCAACCAGCACCAAGAACTTGCTCAGCCAATCATAGAAATACACCAGGAGTGGTAAGCCAATTACAGGATGACAGGATGATTAATGTGCATGTCACTAATTGATATGTCCTAAAGTTTAAAGAAAATAAATGCAAAGAAATAAAGGTTCACAGTTATTTACCATGAGTAAGAATGTGAGGTGGGTATAATAGGAGCAATCAATCACAGACTGAAATGCATATCACGTTTTTAATACCGTAATCACCAACAATCAGCTTCTGAGCCTATCAAGTTCATGTTGAAAGTGTCTTGGACAGGGCGCGATCTGACTTTCTAGGACTCTTTAGGTCTTGCTCAGCAGAATGTGTATGTGGCTGTTGACGGGACAGATATTTCTGCTGTTAAAGAAAAAGTTTGTTTTAAAAAGCAACAGTGCATGTGAATATGCCTCTTCAGGAAATCCTGTGACCGAAACAAAGAGGCCAGAACAACCACAGTTTCACATTAACACCTCCGTATAGTATATATATATACAATATAGTATATATAGTTATGCCTCTGTTTTATTTGCTTTATTTATTTAACCAGATGATCTTATTGAGATTTAAAACCTCTTTTTCAAGAGAGACCTGGCCAAAATGGCAGCATATTAACAGTGCAGTTACAAATACGAACACCATGCACACGCACAACAACAAGGAACATTTAAACAAGATCCTCAAGATACATAAACAAACAACATCAGACTACTTAAAAGTACAATTTATACCTACCATAGGCTTAAAACGATTTAGTTATTTTAAAAACAGTGATAACAATTTATGGCATCTATTTCCAAAACTTTCATGCGTTGTTTAAATTCACCCAAATAAATCAGAATTCGCAATAGCAAATCAGTTTGTAATGTGTTTCAGGTGGCTGGGGCTGCATAACCAAAAGCCTTCTTACCAAGCTCTGTACGAACCGTAGGTACAGATAACAAGTACAAGTTACCAGAGCGTAAATTATAAGAACTGATGTTACGTGACATATAGGAGCAAAGATAAGAGGGAAGCATATCCAGCATAGATTTATAAATAAAAGTAAGCCAATGTATATGCTTCCTCACTGACAATGAGGGCCAGTTTGTCATTTTGTACAAGGTACAAGGATGTGTTGATGCCTTACATCCAGTCACAAATCTTAATGCATTATGGTAGACAGGCTCCAACAAAGACAAACATCGATCAGGCGCATTTCTATAGAGCAAATCATCGTAATCGAGTGCAGTGAGAAAGGTTGCAGCAACCAATCTCCTCCTGGTTTTCCAAGGGAAAAAAAAAGACTGTCCAAAGACTTCTTAGATTTTGAAAAAAGCATAATCTTAGTTTTCTAAACATTCAAAACTAGTTTAAGCTGATACAGTTTTAGCTGAACAAGGTTAAAAGCAGATTGTAAATAAGAAAAAGCTTGGTGTAAAGTAGCAGCCTTACAATAAATAACGGTATCGTCAGCATAAAAATGGAAATGAGCCTGTGAAATGTCATCACCCAAGTTATTAATATAGATAGTAAATAAAATTGGACCCAAGACTGATCCTTGAGGTACACCACAAGATATACTCAGAGTTGCTGATTTGAAATTGTCAAAATAAACACACTGAATTCTATCTGCCAAATAGTTGGTAAACCAATCAACAGTATGGTCAGCAAAACCAATATTACATAGCTTTTCCAGTAAAATGCAATGGTCCACTGTATCAAATGCTTTGGCTAAATCTATAAAAAGAGCTACACAGGTGTTCTTGCAGTCCATTGCCTCAATAATAACCTTCATTGCAGCAGTAGTAGTACTATGCTGCCTTCGAAACCCAGACTATACGTCAGACAAAATATGATTGGATACCAAATACTCCTTTAACTGATGACCAACCAATGTTTCTAAAACTTTAGCTAAAATTGTTAATTTGGAAATCGGTCTATAATGATCCAAACACGAGGAATCTCCTTCCTTTAAAAGAGGGAGTACAGAGGCTGACTTCCAAATTATTGGTATCTCTTTGTTGACTAGGGTTTGATTAAAAATAATTGCAATTGGTTTAGCAATAAAGTCAGCAGCAGCTATTCACAAAAAATACGGCTCTAAACTATCAGGGCCAGGAGATTTACTAGGGTCCAAGGCAATAAGAGCTGTTTGCACATCTGCAACAGAGAAAGGCATTAGGCAAAAGGCCTCTTTACTCGCCGCCACCGATTTCGGGGGCGGAACTGAAGAATTTAAAAAGTTTGTCACGGTTGAATTGCTTGCAAGGAGCTGACGTTCAAACATGGAACCAGCTTCCACAAAGTGCTTATTAGAACACTCTAAAATTGCAGACTTTTCTGATATGACGGCTTTGTCCTTAATAATACATGGAGGTTATTCATTATGACAATTTGAGGTGCATACCGATTTCAGGGCTTTCCAGAATTTCCGGGGATTGTTTAGGTTTTCTGTTGTAGCTGCTAAATAAAAATCTGATTTTGCCTTTTTAATAAAAAAATGTACAGCGATTACACCGCTGTCTAAAACTTAGCCAGTCTGAATCTGTCCCAGATTGCCTTCTCTGCCGAAGAAGATTAGCCAGCTCCGGGGTAAACCACGCGTTATCACGTCCCTTTACTCTTAACCTCTGACAGGGAGCATGCTTGTCCACAATACTAATAAAACCATCATAAAAATATTTCCAAGCTAGCTCCACATTGTCAATAAGTGCAATTCTATCCCAGTCAAAGCAAGACAAATCATGCAAAACTGCTTGCTCACAGAAGTGCCTCAAATTTCGTTTAAAGATTATTCTAGGTTTAGTCTTAGGTAGTTTTGTATTTCTTACTGCTGCAATGACACAGTGATCACTCAAATCGTTAGCAAACACACCTACATCTGAATATTTATGAGGTGTGTTTGTCAAAAACAAGTCAATAAGAGTAGATTTGTTAGAATTTCTGGTATTAGGTTTAGTGGGACTATTTATTATCTGTGTAAGATTTAAACCATTACAGTGATTTTTAAAATCATAAGACACAGAGGATAACCAGTCCCAATTTAAATCTCTAACTAAAACAGTGTCACTGTAGTCAAGTTCATTTAAAAATTCCATTAAATTTGGTAAGGCATCAGCAACCGCAGAGGGGGTCTGTAACAGCCAATAACAGTAATTTGCTGCTGACCTTCGGCTATTTCAAGATTTAATGCTAAGATCTCCAATTGTTTAACAATAGATTGAGAAAATAAGATCCTGGTGTTAAATTTAGTCTTAACATAAATTGCAACACAAGGTGCCCTTCTTTAGACAATCACAACGGAAAACTCTATAGCCATATATAGTTGTATATACTTTTAAATTGTTAAATATTTTTACCACAGACCTCATGTTTATCTTAAATGGACTACAGAGTTACAGTTTCACTGCACAGTAAAAGCGATTACATATTTTGAGTTGGTGGGTTGAAAAATTACTTGACTATTCTGTTTTAAGGAAGACCAGTATAATTCCATGGGTTCCGGGCTCAACCTGACCCCAACAGGACACGTTTCTTAGGGGGTGCTGACATAAGATGCGTTCATAAACAATGAGACCGAGCGCAATCGAATGAAACAGAATGCCAAAGACGTTCATCTTAAGTTGTATGGCTGTAGCGACAGTGCTTCAAAGGAAATTAATAAAAGGACGCATCTTTTACAACAGAGTTTTAATGCTTTTGTATTTGTTTGTATACCTGCTGTCTAGTGGGTAGATCTTTCACACTGTCTGGCTTGAAGAAAGTGAAGTCCAGCAGGGCTTGGAAGAGACACACAGCTTTCTCTGTGTGACCTGCTTGCCGCAGGAAATGGCACTGCTGTAGGAAGATATCTGCCAGAAAAGAGAGAATACTTTGTTTCACTTGAATTCTGATCATGGATATTAAATATATACCTGAAATGAGAATAAATATAAATCGAATGAAGATTTAACCTAAAAACAACACTGAAATACTTAACACTGCACTGCCACTTCTGAACACAAGAGGTCACAGAGCTGTTACCTTCGAGGAATAATTTACCAAACATAATCTTTCACTCACCCTAATGCTGTTCCAAACCTGTATGATTTTCTTTTCTTTTTTTAACCAAGAAACTCAGAAAGGATTTAGAACATCACAAGGGTTTGAAAAAGATGTTAGTTTTCTGGATAAACTATCACTAATTTCAAAACCTCAGATGTGCTCTTAGTATTCAACATTGGCCCCTCACATTATAAAAACAATGTAAGACCTTTATTTGTATAGCACTATAGACATTAGACCTCATAATCAGTCTGGTCCAATCTGTGTAAAATTAATTGCATATTATGAGTGTAAATTTCAGCTCAGAAAACGTGGGCCCTGGGAGTGCTGATCCAGATAAAGGCTGCACATTGACCCGACCTATCGAGGTAATTGTTTAATTAGGCTAATTGAGAATCCAGTGATAGAGAGCACAGAACAGCAAGGGGTCTGGCTCAAAATCTGATCTGTCTCTCACTCACTCACACACACACACACACACACACACAAAACCCAGTGCGGGGGAACCCAGGACATGTCAATCCACCTCAAAAACACCACATCATCACCTTTTACTGTTGCCCGCCAGTCGATCCCTGCCACACACACAGACCAAATGTACTCCAAAATGTACACTTGCACAAATTGTACATGAGCTGCTTATCTCTACAAATATTTATGCATGTAATCAAAACAAGTTTACAGTTTCCACCCAACTGCTGTCACAGCAACATGAGGGGAGGGAGAGGGAAACAAAAAAAAAACACGGATGCAAAAATAAATAAAACCCAAACTATGACAATGCAAAAAATGATCTGAGGACACTAGGAGACATTAGGAAGAACGTGGTGGAAAATCTGGACAGTCTAAAAATGATACATTTGGCAAGTATCTACAATTGACAAGTATAAAATATCACTATACCCAAGAGGCCTTCCTGTGTGCCTGGAAGTGGAGGGTGAGACACCATACTGCCATCCTGGACTGCACTGAGCGTGCTCAGACATTTTCCGAATACGCTGTTGACCTTTGACACTGAGAAAGTGCTGAAATGACTCTGTGTGAAGAGGAGGTACTTCCTCCATAAAGGGGCACTGTTTGGATGGACAAACACTAGTTTCTTCCACTCTTTCTGCAGGATGGCAGGCTCCCATAGTTCCTTGCACAAGCAGAGTTTCTTCAGTTTCAGGTCCACGTTGGCCGGGTTACTTTCCACCGCCCTGTCCACTATGGACAGCTTCTTCTCCAGCACAGCACGAATAGACATCTTTCTCATGTCACTGTCGCCGTCACTGTCAGCAGAGAAAGACCCAGAACCGAAGGCCAGCTCATCCTGATCAGAGACAAAAAGAGAGATTTGTAAGATAGGTAAAAAGGAAACTATTAAACTGGTCCATTTCATCTCTGGAGGCCTACCTGGAAGTGTACGAAGTCCAGCCACATCTGGATGTCTGTAGGATTCTCCCGTAGCTTCCTGTTAAACTCCTCCACCCGTGCGCTCAGAAGGGTGCTGCTGCTTCCTTGAACCTTAACGCCCTGCTGATCTCCCTTGGCCTCCGGTTGACCCTTGCCCTCCAACCACAGAGAGGTTCCAGGGTCATAGATGCCGAGCGGATTGACCCATGATACAGGTGCCTGGGTGGAAGAGCCCTGCTCTTCACTGCAGGCTGGGAGCTTGATGTATGAATCAGAGGTGGCGGCACTGCCCTCAGAGAGTATGGGCAAAGCTGGCAGACTATCTGACCGCAGCCGCTGAAGGGTGGAAGGACAAAAATAGCGCTCAGGTTTCTTGACCAGCCGCTTCTTCTTTGGGCCTTTGTCGGCCCAGTTTACATCCTGCATCCTAAAGTCCAAACCTAGGCATGAGTCTCCCTTCCTCTTATACCTGAAAAGCAGAAGTTAACATAAGAAAAGTGACAAGAAAAAGTGACATGTTTGAATTAAATTGGTGGAGAACATCTACGCTCTCCCCCCAAAATTAGTGCTGAAAACATGAAGAAAGATTTAGATTCCATCTGGGCCTGCTGACAGATGAAGGACAAAGTAAAAACAGGGGTTGGCAGGTGACTGAGGGAGTATAAGATAACTTGAGAATGTGAAGGAAAGAGATCGAAGACCAGGGATATCCTCTTCGAAGCAGCACTTGACCTTCTCACGAAAAGAGTGCTGGGGTGCACCTCGGTAAAACACACTCTCTTTGTGCATGATACCGATCAGCTTTAGAGCAGTGTGTATGGGGGCATCTGTATGAGAGGTGGGTGTCGGGAGAGAGGGACGGTGAGAGAGAATGTGAGTATTGATTGTAGTCTCTTAAGTTGCAGATGACAGCTTTGACACCAGATTAAAGCTGATAGAAGCTGGAGAACTGCCAGGTGTGAGATTTGTTGCCTCTGAGCAGCTAATAAACCCTGCACTAAAGCCAGCAGTGCCAGAACACTGGAGTAAATAATATCCAGAATGACACTTATGAAGAGCAGGGGCGCCGGAATTTAACTACAGCTGCAGTGAGTGCATTTACATTTATAACTATCAAAACCTATGACAAAATAGCTCATAAAAACCAGACAATGCAAGAAAATGGCATTTAACTTCAAATTTTTCCAGGCTATGGCACCAAACCGTAAACAGATGCGCACATTAACAGATTACCAGTAAAGATGTTTACATGCAGACCAAAACTAGGGGAATAGGTAAAAAGCTTCTGTGAGCACTTAACTGCAGCCTGCTAAAATAAATAAAATTCTATTCTATTTCACTATTCCTTCATCTATGCTCTCAGTTCCTTAATCCCCACCTGTTCTAGCTTGCACTGATTCTGAATGATGGCTGAAACTTTGTATTACTAGCACTTCATGGCCTGGTTTCACAGACAGAGCTTAGATTAAGCCAGTATAGTTAAATTAGGTTATAGCCTGCCTTAGAAAAACGTGCCTTAGAAAAAAACATTACTGATGTGCATCTTGAGACAAAACAATGGCAGTGACGTATTTTAAAGGGGACCTATTATGCCCCTTTTTCACAAAATCTCCACATATTTTTTTATAGCATGTTAAAATTGCCACTTTTAGGGTGTGAGCAAAAACAGTTTTTGTGTTAAATGCAAATGAGCTAGTGCTCCCAGTGCCCTTTCGAGAAGAGGGCAGAGCTTCAAGAGCTCCTGCTCCGGCAACAATAAAACAGGACAATCTCACGCACTGCAAATGTCAGAAACTGTCAGTAGCAGTGTTCAGACTTATATGTTCGAACCAGAGCTTGCGCACGAAGCGTTGGTATTGACCCATCTTTCAGAATTAAGTTTTTGAAGAGTCATTTGAAGAGACTGCTTTTGATTTATGGGAATTATAAAAAAATGAGTGAGATGATTTTTTTACCATTATAGGCTGGTTGTTCTCACACACTGCGGTTCAAACACCTTATAAAAGTGAATTTTTCCTAATAGGTTCCCTTTAAGATATGCCAGCGCAAGTTGCTTTTAGTTAAAACATCTCAAACATTTTAGTCTGGGACTAGCGTAAGCCTTGTCTGTGAAACCAGGGGCATATGTTTATTGCCTCTTTAAGATGAATCACTTGTTGAATTCCTTAATTGTAAATCGCTTTTGATAAAAGCGTTGACTAAATGAATAAATGTCAAATGTAAAAAATCTAGGTTTTACTCAAGCCATTAAAAAAAACTGTTAAAGATGTTTACATAACCTCACACATAGCAAGCTATTAAGCATAATTGGTTTAAGATGTGAATGTAAACACACTTCATGTACTCAAACTTTGATCTTAATTACAATTTACGAAATAACTTAACAAAAAAATACACAATTCAATTTAGGAGATATCAGTAGGAAAAACCCTTTTGCATGCCATGCACACAAGAATCGTGCGTGTATAAACAAGAAAAGTTTCTTGTCCACATGTAGATGTTTTTCTGCAAATATCACATTTCAAAAAGATAGACAGAAAGGATCTTCAGAACAAAGTACATTTTTTGTTCAAAGTTTGTTGCAGAGAGAGCGAAAAAAAAAAGAGAAGCCAAAAAGTGCTTTTGGAGTTGCAGATGCAGACGTTGTCATGTGGATTTCAAAGGGTCTCTGCAAACAGAAGCTTGAGTTCTAAAAGCAGTTGAAAGAAACACATGAGCACAATACACACTGCAGCCCTCTCATACACACAGTCGCAGTGCTTCCCTGGATTATGGAGAGTCTGGCACCTGCTGCAGCTGCCAAACAGAAAGAATGAAAGAGGAGAGCATCTATGTGTGAGACAGACAGACATACAGAGATGGTGAGTAAAGTTACCTGGCTATGTCTCCTCTATAAAGGGATTTGTATTCCCAGTTGGCACGGTCAGCTCTCCTGTCGATACAGAAGGGGGAGTCAGTGGGGGTCTGGAGGTCATCCAGCCACATAAAGGTCTCGCTCACCCGAACCTGAGCTTCCTCTCTGCAGCCAAGAGGATGAAAGACAAGGACATTAAAAAAAAACACACACACCATTAGTTACAAATCCAGGGTTAAAAGTGTCTTGAACAGACTGTCTAGAAATGTGGTTGAAGTTTTGTATATTGCAAAGTTCTAAAACAATGCAAACAGAACAACCTTAGAAGGGAATTCACTAATATTTTGCACAAAAAGACACATCCTGCTTCTTTTGTCTAGAAAAGAGCTGCATGTTCATTCTTCTAAACGTCTACTTTAAAGTTTAATGTAAGAAAGTAAGGTGAGTACCCAATTTTTGGGTGAAATGTGCTGCAGGATTTTTCTATGAACACACCTGTCGGCATTGTCCTTTTTTAGCAGGTCGCTGGGGTAAATGGTGTCGGATTCAGAACCACTGCTCTCAGAATTATCTCTGCTCTTCTTCTTGAGTTTTTTCTTCTTCTTTTTCTTTCTCTTCTTCGATCTACCATGGCTATCTTCTCTCTCTTTCCGCTTCTGCTCACTGAATAAACATAGAAAAAGAAGTTATCGTCTCTGATAAACAGACACTTTTTAACAAGAAAGTTAATACAATAGTGTGTTTAAATGCGTGTATGTGTACATTTCAAGCCTGGTCTATAACAGGCATATAGTACTATATAGTTATGAAGCTTAAATAGCCATTAAAAGAAACATTATATATGTACAGATTACTATACTTGTGCATGCCATTTTAATTTAACTTGATACATTTTAATGTGGGAAGGACAATGAAATATTTAGCTAAGCTTCAGCTTTGGTTGAAGTTAAATTACAATTTTATTTTTAATGCATATTTTATTTTTAAAAGATTTACTTTGAAATCAAATAACTGACATATCCCCTTTTTTAATCTATTATACAAGTTCTTTAAAATCACACACTAAGTTCCACACAGGTTAAAAAGTGAATTTATTGAATCAATAACTGCACTGCGCAAGGATCAGATGACCTTGTGCCTGCTGGTTCCTCTGCTTGCACTCTGTCTGTGGCACGCTGGTGAGTCTTCAAAGCATCTTCTCTGTTGAAGCTCTGATTACTCAGCCATTCCAGATCTGCTGGAGCTGAGAAAAGAAACATTCAGTCAAACCAAATTAGCTGTGCCGGCCTCTTAAGAACTGAATAAATCAGGCAATCATGACAGACAGCCTGTCCAAATGAAGATAAACCTCAGAGGAGTGCATCTGATGTGATTCAAACGCACAAAAAAAAAACAAAAAAAAAACTGTCAGTTAAAGAGAGTTGATTCCCTTAAGCAGTGAGAAGGACAGAAGCATGATGCTAACTGTTACTCTGTGGACAGCCTGGGAAGGAGCCAGATGCATTGCTGACCTGGCCGATATTCTGCACAAATCCCCCCACGGCAGCAAAGGTGATCTGCATGCAAGAGCAGTTTGTTCTTTTCTACTGTACTCAATGTGAGAATGGTCCTTTCCCAATAATTTGATATTGATTAGTTGGGATGTGCATCTAGCTAACTGCTCAAAGGCACCACTCGTACGGAATGGCTGACTGATTACATTGTGTTGAACTATAGCCAAATCCATAAGGTCCAGTTTTTAGCTTACAAGATTTGTTTGTGCATAATATGTGCTATATCTAGCGGTGCTTGTAAACATCACTCAATCTATTGCTCACTTTGAACAAACCCTATGCATTAAACTTTGCCGTGTAACTTGTCCAGAATGTTTATGTATGGAGATGAATGACACATTAATCATGCAACTTCTTGATAACAGGTGTGATTTTGACTGTAAATCGATAAAACGTGAAATATCCCATACACTTACATTGGTATAATGTACCCTGGCTGCCTGGCCATATCTGGGCACACGAATATCACTGAGACATGAAGGCCCTTTTGCACAGGCAAAATTGTTTTCAGAAAAAGTAAAAACTTAGTTTACTTATTACCTACTAAAATTAAACAGTAGACAGTTTTATTCTTAAAATGATGCATGTTTTTATGCTTGAAATGATTTACATTTTATAATAATCTAAGTGACACCGTATTGAGGAGTAAAGATGTTTCATAAAGGATTCAGTTCAATGCAGTATATCTATATTCCAACAGATTCACCACAAATCACTGATCTAGAAGTAAAAATACTACTACAGATGATTCTATAATTAAAATATAATATAAAGGCTACTAAATATTATTACTGTTGATCAATTGCATTGCAGTTGCATACTGTTATAGTAAATCAAGCAGCAGTTGTAGAATAATCAGCACAAATGTTAGGTTTCGTTTACAGGTTATCTTTCAATAATGCACCATCAAGTGCACCTGAACTAATCTTGTATGAAGACTTGAAGCAGGTCAGAGAGCTTACCTCTATCCTCAGCAGAGCTGTTAATGCCTGACAGTCCAGCGCAGGACGGAAACAGAGCCATGTTGCTTCATTCAGTTCAAAACAGACGCGCGCCGATTGCGTCATCCGTCTGCGACCTAGCAGGAACGCATGAACGCATGCAGTGATGAGAAGTCCGACTCATTTATGCGAATCGCTTCTTTCGAACAATAAAAATTATTCAGCAATTATTTTGTCATGACATTATTATAACATACATGCAGTCTTGATTCAGCTAATTTAGAGCACAAATTTATATATATATATATATATATATATATATATATATATATATATAATGATTCAATTTGCAAACAATACTAAAGTTAATCTTTTTTTGCATGTTTTAATAAAATGCTATCTATAAATGCCAACTCTATTTCTTGCGCGTGTTGGTAAAAATCTCACACGATATATATCATATTTCACATTTCATTCTAAGTCATATCAAGACGTAAACATATTTCCAGTTTGATGAATTTGTAACATTTCTGCTATTATAGTAAACTCCTCCTTGTCAGTTAAAATCACCCAAATCCAATATCATCTTAATATCATTCTTCATCGCATTCATCCAAATTACTAATCGGGTTCGAAAGAAACGGTTCAATCAATCAGTGAGATGATTTTTAGAAAAACGCTAAAAAAAAAAAATCGGGTCTCGTTAAGATTTCTGATAATGAATTTTGGGGGGAAATTTTTTCCATGACGATTAGGAAATTTTACGCACTTTTGTTTTACCGTTACAAGTTTTGTTCATAATAGTAACAGTTTTCTGCATTTATTTAGCAAATGTTTGGTCCTCTATAAGTGTTATTCTTTCATTCATAACGGATAGATACATGTATGCATATTTCCGTTGTCGCAAACTAAATTTCATCCAGTTTGAAGTGTTATTTATTATCCAAATCGGTTTATGTACAAAGAGGACAGCAGTCTGTGCTTACTAGGAAAACTCAATTAAACCTTAACTTTCTTGAAGTAAAGACGGCTCACGGACGGTGAGTATATAATATGAGATCTGATCCCGGGAGAGAAATTGAATCAGCCCTGTCTTGTCTAACCGAAGGGTTTGTTGGCCCGCCGGTTCCAGTGCTGCGTGATCCGGGACACACAGAGCGCAATGGCTTGACGCATTGCAGGTCTAACGTAACCAATCAGAGACTCTGTTACAGTCACGAGCGGATTGCGGGTCTCAGCTGGCCAATCATAAAAGCTGTGACATGCTGAGTCGAAATCTCTCTAGCGTCAACCAAGGCACTGAACTTGATGCAATAAGTAATATTCCGACGAAAGAAACTAGTGCCTTTTTGAGAAGTAGTCCCTCAAGATGTAAAGAGTTCTTAGACCATTTATAGTAATGTGGCCATAACAAATTGCTTTTACTGGTGTTTGACATGTCCTTATTTTTTATATATAGAATCTGTGATTTTTAATTAACGGGTGACTTTTTAATTCGTATCCTATATTCCTAAATGTATTAAAAACACGCTAATTTAACTTGGAGTGATGAAGAACAGAAATAAAGTTAAACAATGTTATTTATAATATTATATTAATATAACCTATAATTATTTTCATGTTTGATTTACTACTTATCAATGATCTTTTCGTTTTCAAATGTCGGCTAGCTGTTCACTGGGAATTATTTAAATTAATAAATAAATTGGAACCAGTGGAATACGTTTTCAATTATTAAGAATATTTTCTCTTCATTTCTCTTAAAAAGGTCTTAATTCACACACACACACACACACACACACACACACACACACACACACACACACACACACACACACACACACACACACACACACACACACACACACACACACACACACACACACACACACACACAAAAACTCATTCTTGAAGTTGATTTTTGAATGTGAATGTTGAATGTGTTTACTCTTCTTGCTGTAGCCTACATTTTGCCATAACCTTGTCCTATAGGCCTATGCAATACCCTTAATTTTGATTGTCTATAAGCCCCTGCATTTAAAATGGCCACACTATTCCAGGTATTTTCCTCCTCATTACAAATGTATACTGGATGAATTTACTTTAGATTTTAGTTAGGTCAACTTCTGTTTCTACACAACTTATAGAAAACATTGATTGGTCATTTGTGGGAAAATTTGGGTCTGCTTAGAAATTAAACCAGAATTATCAGCATGTGAGAACGCATGTTGTGTTGTACGCATGTTGTGTGAGAACGCAAGTATGTTTGTAAATAATCCCATATTTTTTTTATCAAAATATCTTTGTGTATTGTTATTACAACAATGAAGTGTATGTGAACCTTTGTGAGTGAGATGAATAGTTCTTTCATATTACTTATTATACTACATACAATACCAGTGTGTAAAGTGCTCCAAGAAATAATTACATATTAAATACACACTAATCTGTATTGCGTGCTTATATTGAAATTATTTTATAAGTAATTATTATATATACTTATAATTATTATATATATAATATTATATATTACTATTCTACTAAAACCTGTTGGTTTACATAAAAACAAAACATTTAGGCCTACATGCAGTAGAATGTAAATATGCTGTTTGTTTTCTTGTAACAGTGCTGAAACTCCCATGACATTTTCATATAGACCTACCAGAAAATGGCAGATTTCATGTACTTAAGTACCGGTATATATAATAAATTTCTCCAAATAGAATTATTGCATTTCACTAGTAGACTTTTTTTTCTTATAACTAAACACTTTCCCTTCTCGGGACTGAGGTGGTTGTGATAATTAGATGGGCGGGGCTTGTGACTGCACTATGCGGAAGTGAGTGATAGGGGTCCGTACGGCGGAGGAATACACCGATGTATATAGAACCGGATCACCTTCAATACTCTGCGAGGCGAGCTACAGTCGCACGGTGGAGCTTTCAACTGAGAGCGGAGCATCGCTGCAGTCTAGTGTAGATTTACAAACCTAGCCTACTCTCCAACCTCAGATATGGTACGTATAGGCTTTTATCATACACTACTCGTTTATGAAACGGTGTTAATATTTCATGTATTTAACGCTTTGCGATTAATATGCAGAAAACACTAACCACCTGCTTGCTTGCTTGCTTGCTTTCCACTGCTGCGTTCTGCGCTCGTGCAAAATCAAATCAAATTTAATTTCATATGCATTAGAATCTGTTCTGTATTTCAATGCACTTCGCCAGAGATGGTTGTGTCTGTTTATTATTTTGAACGTGTTGCATTGATGTCATAGTGCGGCAGGAAATGTGACATATGCGTTTTATTATGGTGTATGTGCTGGACAGCAGCAGACAGATGATCAGTGCTCACCTCCTATTAAATAAAAAGACATTGTGATTGCCTTCATATTTGGCGTGTATGAGACAATATTTGCTTTGCTTTTGCAAATGATTTTTGCTATAGACTTGACAGTGCCTGGACAAATCAGGCCAGTCTTAATAGAGAGCATGGAAAGACCTTAAATGATTAATTCTCCTTAAAAATGTAAATTAAATCATCATTTACTCGCCCTTATGTCGTTACAATGCAAACCCGTATGACTTTACTTCTTACCTGTAGCACAAAAGGAGATGTTAGAATGACTGCCTCCGTCACCATTCACTTTCATTGTGTTGAAAAAGATGCATTGAAAGTAAACGGTGCCTGGGGCTGTCAACATCACCTATTGTGTTCCACAGAAGAAGAGAAGTCGTCATAAATTATTGCAAAAGTTCAATATTTGGTTGAAATATTTCTTTAAATGTTCAGTGTAATGAAATGAATGAGATCTATTAAGCAGTTGTCATGCGAGGTGTGTTGGCTGTAGATGGTGGTCATTGTTTCATTTTTTAAGATACGGCATTATGACATGCGTGTGACCTTGTTATTTATCTCAGCTCCTTTTTTATTGAGCTTTTTATTATTAAAGTTTGCATAACTTTCAGATCTGTCAAAATAAGCAGGGCTAGAATTGCACATTGGCTTTATTCATTGGTTTAGGTTGGCAGAACTTGGCACAAACAATTGATTCATTTTGTGCTGTATTAACTTAATGCAACAGGCCTGTTTGTTATCTGTGTTCTGGACTTTTTGTACACTGGATTTTTTTTCTTTTCTCATAAGAGCTCGAAATGGAGTGCATAACTTATACATACCAAGAGAAAATAAACAAACCTTTGTTTAAATGGTGCATTTTAGCTCAAGAAAGCAAACATTGTTTGTGAAGCATGGAAAGAATGTCCCGAGTGAGTTCAACAAAAGTCAATACTGACTGAATGAGTCCATACAAACTGTTCTGTTTCAGCTTCTCCACAGCATGCTGCCAGAAGGCTCAGTGTTAAAAAATAAAAATAAAATAAGATTCTGGGTGCTATTTGGTGAGAATGATCTCAGTTCTTCTTTGAACTATGAATGGTTAGTTGCTGAGAGGTGTCTGTTTCCTCTCTGGTTGCGTCTTCAGGATCTTTCTGACCCTGTTGCAGCTCTAATTTCATTGTGCTGCCTGTACAGGCAACTGTGCCATTAGATTTATTGGGTACTTGTGGGGAAAATAATCATGTTTTTGGCACAAACAAATTTTTTCACCCATCATGCAAAACAGTCTGGAAACAGTCTGCGCTTCTTTATATTCTTTGGGGTGTACCTCTGAAATGACAGTCATGCTGAACTGCTTGAATGCTAGAACAATAACTACAGCCTTTACTGTGTATAAGAGCTAACCAGCTATCCAGTGTTCAGTACTGAATTAAAACTCTAACTCGCTTATCCTAAAGAATTTATTGGGAAACCTTGTAACTAAAATGGACAGATTAGCCTTAAAAGTATGGCTAATTCAGGGCTCGCTGTCTTTACGGCACACAGTTGGTGTGGCTCATAAGGAAGCCGCCTTTACAGTTGTGGTCGTGAGTTTATATTAAGCCATCTTCCTGTCTTGGGTCCTAAGTTGTGGGTATATTGGTATTTGTTTTGTGCATAAAGACAGTTACTGGAACTAGACTCTGTAGAGCATCAGTGTGGCGGCGTGATGGTTCAGGGCCTCGGGGACTCCCATTTACATGGTGTGAAAGTGGCAATACCACACTCATTATCGTACACTGGGCGTCCTGAGCGCCAGGCCAGCCTTCTCTCAG